TGCGCAGTCAGGTTGGCGTCTATTTGGAGCTCACGCTCAATGCCAAGGAATTTCCGTGCCCCCACGTTCTTGGCGATGCAGGCTGGCTTGGTGTCAAAGGACCAATTCGATCAGATATCTTCTTGAGCAAATTGCTTCGTCTTGGACCGTATCCTTTGATGACAGCCGCAGGCAGCTGCTTGAGGCTTGCGTTGAGGCTTGCTGTCAGATGAATATCCCACGCTGCAAAGGCAACACGGAACCGGGCCGGTCACGAGGACGGGACCGGCAGTCAGGGACAGGGCGGTCTGTGGTCTGTGGTCTGTGGTCTGTGGGTGGAAGAGGTGGGCAAGAAAGACAGAGGCTGCGACAAGGATTCGGTGATGCAACAGGAGCGAGCTAGCGAGGGCTTCGCGGCGGTAGCGGGAGCGTTAGCATGGACCGGAGTACGAGGTGACTTGCTGGAGAAACGGAGCAGAAGTCTGGAGATGGCCGGTGTTGGAAGCGGATCCTGTGAGAGCGGACCCGCTACGAGAGGCCCAGCGGAAGACCCAGAAGGGGACGCGCGGTGAACAGGCCGGAGCAGACCGGAGCATTGAAGCGCTTGGAGAGAGAAGAGAGGGTCGGATGCGGTTCCCGACGGTTGATGAGAGCTTCGTTTCTTTTCTGGTGAAAGTCTGCAGGTGGTACAGAGCGGATCTCATCCGGTGGGAATATGTGTTTTGGCGATGGCGGTAGTGTTGAGTGGTGTGCGTGAATAGAGACGGACGAACAGGAAAAAGCCGGTGTTCCAGGAATTATGTGTGGATGGACCGGGAGTTGAGCAAACCCTCCATAGATCTCCAGATTCCCGGATCTTAAGTCCCCTTGTTGTTTTGGGTCCGGCTTTTAGAAGCTCGGATCCTGATGCCCCGATCTAGGTGGGCGATTCATAACGGGGGTTCTGAGCTCCGTCGTCCGTTCCATTGATCCAGCATTGACCGTTGCTTCGTTTCATCAATGCGCATGGTGATGAGACGAGGAAATGACTAAAGTCACTCGTGAGAAATGGGTGAATGGAAATGACACTCTACAGTGGACAAAAGGAACAATGACCGACAAGGGAAGGAAAATCCATCCCGCCTCAGGCGCACCACTCAGCTGGACGCACACATGAGACACAGATGGAAGGAACTGCCCACGCCCACAGGGCATGACAGACAGCCCAGACAAAACGCCCGTCCGGCAGGGTGCGAGCAGCGCCTGAGACTGCCATTCTTAACACGCCGATGTCCGGGGTAGCCCCACTGTATTTTCTCCGTCTCCAGGGCACGGCAGGGCATGGCCCGCCCACTGGCCGTGACTCCGTGAGGTGAGCTCGAGCTGGGCAGGAACGGACTGCAGAATGGCACATGCACCGAAGAAAGACCCCATCAGTTGCAGGGGCCTCGAACCATATGCAGCCTCTTAATTGGCTGAGAGCTTCCTACCCTTCCTCCGTGCAGCTCCGATCGACTAGACACCACGCTTTTGCCCACCTCCACCATCACATCGCCTCACTCCGCTCACCTTAATCCGCCTGACTCCTCCTGTCCTTTTTCTTTCCTACTTCTCCCTCTTCTCTGTCAATCTCCCCTCCTTCATCAATTCCTCCTCCCATCACCACCTTCATAATGCTGTCCACTCTCCGAGTTGCCAGCCGCAAGGCTGCCCGTCCCGCCCAGTTCAACCTCGCTGCCATCCGTGCCGCCTCTAACTGGGCCAACGTCCCTCAGGGTCCTCCCGTATGAAGCTCCCACACTGCCAATGCGCATCTTCCGTTTCCCCTCATGCTAACTTGTCACAGGATGTAAGTTGTTTCTTGCGCTCTTGAGCTTTTTGTAAGCTCCGTTGTTAATCAATCGCTTCTTTCGCACAAAAACAGGCCATTCTGGGTACGTATGATTCATACTCCGTTCCCCCGAACAGAGGGGAATGGTGCTCGAAAAAACACCTCATCACCAAGCGCATTGGTGCTAACCCCATCTCCAGGTATCACCGAAGCCTTCAAGGCCGACAAGTTCGACAAGAAGATCAACCTGGGTACGTCCGACGTCACCCCCACGCCATTACCCTCGCACCGACCGCGGAGGCTCCCCGTTGTGTCCGAGCTTAATCTGACTCGATCCGTTTACAGGTGTCGGTGCCTACCGTGACGATGCTGGCAAGCCCTACGTCCTGCCCTCCGTCCGCGAGGCTGAGAAGAAGGTGGTCGAGGCCAAGCTGAACAAGGAGTACGCCGGCATCACTGGTGTCCCCGAGTTCGCTCCCGCCGCCGCCAAGCTGGCTTACGGCGCCAACAACCCCGCCCTTGATCGCATCACCATCACCCAGACCATCTCCGGTACTGGTGCCCTCCGAGTTGGTGCTGCTTTCCTCGCCAAGTTCTTCCCCGGCGAGAAGAAGATCTACATCCCCACCCCCTCGTGGGCTAACCACAAGGCCGTCTTCAACCACGCCGGTCTCGAGGTTGAGCAGTACCGCTACTACGACAAGAGCACCATCGGCCTCGACTTTGAGGGTCTGATTGCTGATGTCAAGGCTGCCCCCAACGGCAGCGTCTTCCTCTTCCACGCTTGCGCCCACAACCCCACTGGTGTTGACCCCAGCCAGGAGCAGTGGAAGCAGATCTCTGATGTCGTCAAGGAGAAGGGTCACTTTGCCTTCTTCGACATGGCCTACCAGGGCTTTGCCAGCGGTGACACCGACAAGGATGCCTTCGCTGTCCGTTACTTCGTTGAGCAGGGCCACAACATTGCCCTCTGCCAGTCTTTCGCCAAGAACATGGTGAGTCTCGGACATGCTCGGGTTTTGTTCGGTATCGTACAGAATGCTAACAAATTGACAGGGTCTCTACGGTGAGCGTATTGGTGCCTTCTCCATTGTCTGCGCCGATGCCGACGAGAAGAAGCGTGTCGACTCTCAGCTCAAGATCCTCATCCGACCTCTGTACTCCAACCCTCCCATCCACGGTGCTCGCATCGCCTCCGAGATCCTCAACAGCCCCACTCTGTACAAGCAGTGGCTCGGTGAGGTCAAGGAGATGGCTGACCGCATCATCACCATGCGTGCTCTCCTCAAGGACAACCTCGAGAAGCTCGGTTCCAAGCACGACTGGTCCCACATCACCAACCAGATCGGCATGTTCGCCTACACTGGTCTGACCAGCGAGGAGATGACCCGCCTTGCTGAGGAGTTCTCCGTCTACGCCACCAAGGACGGCCGTATCTCCGTTGCCGGTATCACCTCTGAGAACGTCGGCCGTCTCGCCGAGGCCATCTACAAGATCAAGGGTTAAATATTGTACTGACAGTAATGAGGAGGGAAGTGGAGGATAATCCAACGGGACATTGGCAGGGCTACTGATAGACTCTTCCCTTGGGTAAAAACAGCTACGGTCATGAAAGCTGCAGGGATTGGATGGACTGAAAAATACCCCTAGTCTTGGGTTTAGGTCGGGCTGTCTGGTCTGATGGATAACGACGAGACGAAAACTGAAAATATATGTACGAGTAACCTGAAAAAAAGACACGGGCCTCGTGCCTATTTACCTGCTATTCTAATGGGTATACGCTGTGAAATGTGAAAGATGTAAACAAAACAGGCTTCGCTTCCATACATGAGATGAGACTCTATCATCTTGATGCCCAGGCATGATGTAAGACAAGACAGGAGTTTCTCTCATACATTTAGTCGATCAAGATCTCCTCTGACATCTTCCATCTGTCGTCCCATCTCCCTATACACCCGCGACATCTCTCGCATCATTCTCTCCTTTCCCTCACCGCCCTCAACCCCGACGCCATACTCGCCTAGCTCAGCCGTCAAGCCACGGACACGCTCCTCACCGCGGTTCTTGGCATCGCGAAGATGAGCGCCGTAGTTCTTAAGTGCGGCGATCGCCTCGGGCGAGTATACGGCGCGACGAACTGAGGATGCAGCAATGGCGGCCTCGGCGTCGTAACGACGGGCATGTAGCGAGACCTCTGCGGCGCGAATCTCGAGACTGCGCGCGACGACGCCGTGTTTGGCTTCGAGGGCACGGATGAGAATGCTGAGAGCTTGGCTGGCGGCTTGGAGGAGGGAGGTCAGGGTAGCGAGGGAGCGAAGGCGGTGGGTCGAGAGATCGGTTTCGGCGGCGGTCAGGTCTGAGCGGAGGTTGGAGAGGGTACTGGGTAGGGAGGCGATATGGCGGTGGAGGTAAGACGGGTTCGTAGTCGGGTGGGCGATTCGCGCAAGACCTAGGGCTGAAGAGCGTAGGTTTGATGCGATGAGAGGCGCGAGACTTGGGAGGAGTGTCTCAAGGTCGGAGAGCGGAGGGTGGGCGAAGAGAAGCTCGAGGGTATCTTGCGGGAGAGGCGGGATGCTGGCGTCTAGTAAGGGAGGTAGGACGACAAGAAGGTCGAGGAGTGGTTCAGGAAGTGTAGGTGCCTGCTGGGATCTCGTGTCTGGCTGTTGTTGGTTCTGCGGTGCTCGAAGACGGGAGGAAGCTTTTGTCGCTGGCGGTGTGCTTGGTGTTGCTGTCGCTACGGCGCGTGTGAGGATGTGGTGTTTCGCAGAGGTCAGACGTCGACGATCCAGTTCCTAAAGCCCAAGTCAGAATCAGTCATGCATTGTAAGATGTACATATTCTTACCTCTCGAACAACCGCCCGCTCCTTGGCCGCGGGGTCCTCCTTTGTAGAGCCATCAGGATTCAGAATGACATTTGTGAGTTTATTGTAGAGATTTGAAAAATCGGGATTATTTTGCAAAACTGCATCATCAACGGGCGGAAAAGCCGTCATTGCGAAATCATCAACAACATAAACAAACAGACTTGCATTGAGTTTATGTTGTATTAGTGAAGCTCTCACCAACCAAGCTAAAGTGGGGTCGCCTGATTGGATTGCTCTCCCATGTCTCCGGGGCCGGAACATCAAGCGCTTCCGAGCAAGCCCGCGGGGACCCAAAAATCTCAACACCAAGAAAGTCGAGCACGATAGAGATATCGGACGGAACGATCTCTGACGGTGTGTGATTCGGATACCCGCCCGCCCAGACGCCAATTGAGGCCAATGCCTCGTTCTTGAACGAATCACCACGATCAAGGCCTCCCCCCGAAACAATGGCATCCTTTGCCCCCGTGCGGCCGGCCCTCAGGGCAGCCCTCCAACCATCAACGACAACCTGCAGCATCCTCGCCCGCCAATTCAGCACGACTCTCCCTCAGCAGACAAAGACCATCAAGCCTCACCTCCTCCCCTCGCGGCTGATTCCTCCCTACCCCTACGGCGAGCGCCGGGTCTACAAGCAGTCGAACCGGGGCCTGTACGGCAGCGCCCGCATCCGCTTTGGCAACACGGTCGCGGAAAAGTACAACAACAAGGCCCGCCGCTTCTGGAGGCCCAACGTCCACGTCAAGAGCTTCCACCTCCCCGCCGTCGACGCAAACGTAAAGACCCGCTTGACACTCCGCGTCCTTAAGACCATCCGCCGAGAGGGTGGCCTGCAGGAGTACCTCCTCAAGAGCAAGCCTGCGAGACTAAAGGAGCTGGGACCTGGAGGATGGAACCTGCGTTGGTTGCTGATGCAGTCGAGGGATATTCAAAAGAGGTTCAATGAGGAGAGGGTGGCGCTGGGCATGCAGCCAAAGGAGATTGAGAACAGGGACGATGTTATCCAGTACGCTCTGGACTTTGCCACGCCTGGTCCCCTGAGCATGCGCAGTCGCCAGACGCTATCCGAGCTCAAGGCCGCCTCGGTCCATGAGTTTGTACTGGGAGATGAGGATCTGGCGGATCTCGAGGGTGTTGAGGAGCTGACGGACGAGGAGGAGGCGCTGCTGTTCAAGGAGCTTGACAAGGCAGAGGCCGACCTCAACACGACGACGACAAAGGACAACGTTACGGTATAAATGTTTCATGTATTATATGTACCAAAAGCCCCTTGTTTCTCATATCAAACGCCAAAACAACCCTTGTATCACCAACCGCCCAGAAGCTCAAGATAGAAAAAAGACATATTCTTTTCATGTTTTTGGTCATGTTCTCATTTCAGGAGCTAACTACACAACATACATACAACCTCTTATTCAACATGGTATCATTTTTTAGAAACGGAGATCCCATCCAATCTTGGGTCCCAGCTTGGGAAGCTCATCCGCCACGCTCTGCACATCCTTGTCACCACGACCACTCAGGCAGATGACCAGATCCTCGCCCTTCTTCATCGTCTTGGCCAGCTCAATGGCACCGTAGATGCCGTGTGCCGACTCGAGAGCGGGGATGATACCCTCAAGCTGGCTCATGAGTCTGAAACCGAGGAAAGCCTGGGCGTCAGTGGCGGCAATGAACTTGGCTCGCTCATTATCCTTCCAGGAGCTCAGCTCAGGGCCGACACCGGGGTAGTCAAGACCAGCGGAGACGGAGTGTGTCTCGGAAATCTGGCCGTGCTTGTCCTGGAGGACGTACGTCCTCACACCGTGCAGGACACCCTTGGAACCACCGGTGAGGGTAGCGCTATGTCTTAATGTCTCAACACCGTCACCACCAGCCTCAACACCCAGGAGCTTAACACTGGGATCGTCTTCGAAGGGGTAGAACATGCCGACAGCGTTGCTGCCTCCACCGACACAGGCCACGACGGCGTCGGGGAGCTTTCCTCGCTTCTCGAGCATCTGTTCCTTGGTCTCGCGGCCGATGATGGACTGGAACGTCCGCACGATGGTGGGGAAGGGGTGAGGACCGATGGCGGAACCGATAATGTAGTGGGTGGTTTCAAGGTCAACGACCCAGGCGCGGAGGGCCTCGTTGACGGCATCTCGAAGGGTCTTGCTTCCAGCCTCAACAGCGACAACCTTGGCGCCGAGCAGTCGCATACGGAAAACGTTGAGAGCCTGTCGTCGGACATCCTCCTATAAAAGTGTTAGTCACTGTATCACAGAGTCGTGAAAGCGGGTAGACCTACAGCGCCCATATAAACTGTGCACTCCATGCCAAACTTGGCACAGACAGTGGCAGTAGCAACACCATGCTGACCAGCACCGGTCTCAGCGATAATGCGGGTCTTTCCGAGTCTTCGAGCCAGGAGGAGCTGTCCCAGAGCGTTGTTGATCTTGTGGCTACCAGTGTGGTTCAGATCCTCACGCTTCAGCCAGATGTTGGCGCCGCCAGCGTGCTCAGTCAGACGATCAGCCAGATGCAGATGGCCGGGTCGTCCCATGTACTCGTAGTAAGACCGGTACTCCTCCCAGAAAGCAGGGTCGTCCTTGATAGCGTTGAATCCGTCCTCCAGTTGTGACAGACAGTCCATCAAGCTCTCGGGAACGTACTGACCACCGAACTCGCCGAATCGCTCAGGAATCTTGCCGTGCAGAGCGGCGAGCTGAGCAACCAGGGCACTATCCTCCTCGGCGCTGATATCGTTATCCGTCACAGTTGCCTCGACAGTGACATTGTCTCCGCTAGGCTCCTTGGCTCCGGCAACAGCCTCAACGAGACCAACCTCCCGGGTGTTCTCCTCCGAATCGCGGCCCGACAGATAGGCGCAGTACTTCTCAATATCGGCGAGAGCCTGACCAGGCTCGGCGTTCTTGATAGTTGTGATAATCTGGCTGCCAACGACGACACCATCGGCAAGGGTAGCGACACTCAGGAAGTGTTCACGGGTGCTGACACCGAATCCAACAGCGGCGGGCTTGTTGCCGCTGTACTTCTTAACTCGCTCCAGAAGAGCGGGGAGGTTGGCATTGAGAGTTCCGGTAGCGCCAGTAACACCCATTCTTGATACGACATAGATGAAAGAATCGGCCAGTTGGCAGAGAATCTTCATTCGGGTATCAGAAGTAGCGGGAGCGATGAGGGGGACGTAAGAAAGGCTTGAATATTTGAGTCAGTATCAAGTCTCGGTTTCGCTGTGTGGTTCAACTCACTGGCCCTTGTTGCACAGCTTTCGGAAGGAGATGGCCTCCTCGGGAGGCAAATCGACAACGATGAAGCCATTGACACCAGAAGTCTTGCAATCCTCGAGGAGTCGCTCCTCACCGTAGCTGAGAAGGGGGTTGTAGTAGCCCATGAGCAGGACAGGAGCCTTCAGACCGCGGTCTCGGGCCGCCTTGACCATGCCGAGGGTGGACTCGATCGTGACGCCATTGTCGAGAGCAATCTACACCAAGTCAATTCCCGCCCATTGATGTTTCCAAATCTCGTACGAACCGTGTTGGCAGTCTGAATGGTCGGGCCGTCGGCAATTGGGTCGGTAAAGGGAGCACCGAGCTCGAGAACATCTTTTTGTGTGATCAGCGCAAAAATCGCAACGTCATTCGGACCAGAGGCACTCACCGGCACCACCCTTTTCCAAAGCCAGGAGGATATCGGGGGTGTCCTCAGGCTTGGGATATCCAGCAGTGACATATGATACCAGCGCAGACTATATTCAACCCATTGTCAGTCCATTACGACTCCCGATGAAAAAGTTGTGACTCTTGTCTCTTTACCCCGCGGAGGGGCAACTTGAGAGTGTGAACTGACCCTGTTCTGCGACTTGCAGCGCTGGAAAGTTTGTCTGATGGCCTCCATGGTTCTAATCGAATGTCTTGTTCGTCGTAGAAGTTGATTTCTTGACTTGTAGACTCGAAAAAGGATGCTGGCCTTGGGACTCTTTTTAAGAGAAAAGAAAAAAGTCGGGGAAAGCGAATCAACGAGTTGGAGTTTCCTTTGGTGACTGGAAGTTTACGCCACCCGATTCCGGAAGAATGCTCTCCGCCACACTTCTGGCTCGATTAGCTCCTGCCGCCGCTGCTCCTTCCTGCACGTCGCCTGCACCTGCATGTTCCGTCCACACTCCGCCCTGCAGCGGGCATCCATGTACCCCACTCCGGCCCCGGACTTGCCTAAAACAGCAGTCATGATGACAACTCCGGACAGCTTGGAGGACATGGCACTCACCAAAACACGTTACATGGCCGTTGGAATGGCATGGATTAGCGGATCTAACTTACGGTTTGTATGATTCATTGTTGGCAGATGGACGCCATACCCTTGAATCATGCACCCCGGAGGATTATGCATGCGCCAAGCAGCTCCGGGCATGGCCGCCGAGGCGCCAACATGACTTACACGCGACATCACCACGACATACGGACTGCATACGTGTAGCCATCAGTTGTTATTCTTGTCTCAATCTAGGGCTAGGAACAATCTGGTTTGCCATCGTGACTACAGTATGTGATGTGCAGACCCGCGTGAACCCAGACTCGGGGTCGCCCCTTTTGATACGGAAGCCAACTGTTTGATGTTCTCCCTTCGAAGCAGTACAAAAACAAATGAAATGACAAGAAAAGATTTCGAGTTGCCTCCAGTTCCAAAGTATTATCAACGCCGTCCATGCAATGTCATCATGATCCCCTCGTCGCTTTCATGCAGTCATACGTTAGGGAGAGTATCTTCCGGCACAAGGTCCAGCCCAGACCGGGAGTAGCGAGAAAAACTGCAACAAAGAAAAGATGGAGAGAATCTTGACGCCTCCCTCCCATTTCCCCTTCAACCGGTCAATGGGCTCCAGACTTCCTAGTACTTGCCGCTTGTCGAGTCGAGGTAGCCGTAGGAGCTGCTTCTTTGGTTGCCCTCGACCTGCATGGGACGACCCCCTGTTGCGCCGGACATGAGCTTTTCGTCACCTCCGCTCGGTGCTTGTCTGTAGCTGTCTTCCTCGCCTGAGGAGGATCCAAATCGAGGGAAATGCATGACGCCGCCGGGGTTGGTCTCGTCGTGATGTCCGATATGGGGACTTGCGTTGGGTCGGTTGTCTCCGGTGTAACGCATGCCACCTTCAGCACGGCCTTTGTCGGGCGAGACCATGCCAACCAGTGTCCATACAACTCCGATAAGTACCACAAGGCAGTAGAGAAGTAGCAGGCCGGTGGAGATGAGGGCATCCTGGATCAGATTGTTGTGGAGCCAGTCGGTGACAGCCTGTACAGCCCCCGTGACCTCATCAGTAGTGACGCTCGACGGGGATGCAAGGAACGTGTTAAGATCCGAGTCACCATCAATCGAGTCCTTGGCACCCATGCTGAATGTGTTGTTCTCAAAGAGGGGGAAGTTGACTTGGGAGTGGTCGTGAACCCAGGTGAGACCCTTTTGCACGCTCTCGATCTTGATGCCGATGACGCAGTGCAGGACAGTCTTGATGGGGTCGAGGAGGATGGTACCCTTGAAGGCAGTGTTGAGGCCATCGTCCATAGTTTCAAGGAAGGTGTTGAGAGTGTCGTTGACGGCATCCGTAGCGTTAGTAACGTAGCCGAGAACGTCATTGTTGATGTCGTCGTTGAGGCCCTTGATGACACCGTTGGCGCCATTGGCCCAATCGTCAGAAACGCTCTCCAGGCTCTGCACCACGTCGTCGGCAAAGGCGCCAACCTGGTCAGCCAGAGCAGGGACTTCGTCTCTAACGGCCCTGAGAAGGAGGAACTGGCAGAAGCAGGAGAAGAAACCGGCAATCGCGAGAGACAGGACAAACAGGGCCGGTACAGAGGTGGCGTAGGCGATGCACCAACGCACCAGGATCTGCTTCTTGCCCTTGAAGCGAGAGGCGACCTTTATTCCCCACGTCGCGGTCATGGGGCGAGAGGCGATGTAGACAACATCCATGGAGTCGAATTGGCCCTTAGCAATGAGACGCGCATGCTGCTGCTGTCTTCGCCAGCGCTTGATCTCGAGCCAGGCCATGGGGACGATGGCAGCCACGGCCAGGATGACAAGGACGACGATGAAGATTGTCTTGGCCTTGGCGATGAGCTCAAACAGGTTGGTGAAGAATTCGTTGAGAGCGTCATTTTCAGAGCAAAAGGTCAGCTGCTTCTTCTGGGCCAGAGGGAATGCATCCCGATCGAACTTGTAGTTGCTGTAGGTTTCGTTGAGAGCTTGGCGAACAAAGTTGAAAGGCTTGGAGATGGCCTCCTCGGTCAGGTTCTGGACCTCTCTGAAGTCGGGAAGATCCTCTTCGAGTTGGCGAACGTCCGAGACAAATGTCGTAGAGTTGAGGTCAAAGTTCTTGAGGTCTTGGATGGGCTCCGTGAAGTTGACCTTGGGGATGTCGGGGATCAGATCACCAAAGACGGAGTCCTCAATGCCCTCAGTAACCTTATTAATGCCATCCTCAAGGTTTCCGGCAATGTCTTCAATCTCCTTGGAAACCTTGTCGATGATCTTGTTGAACGCCTTGGTGGCATCCTCGGTGACATTAGCAACGACGTCAAGACTACCGTGGACCATGGCTGTGATGAGACAGACGTAAGTGGCAGTGAGGAAGTTGATGTAGAAGATGATGAGGTTCTGGACACCGACGATGATGAGGTCGAGCATGTACACCATAGCCTCGATGGACTTTTCGATGCCAGAAGCCGCAAGCTCGTTGACACCTCGTGACAGGTAATGAGGCATGGAAGCCATGGCGCTTCCAACATCTTCGACTTTGGTACAGGCCGAGAGGGCCTTGGTTCTGGCATCCCCAACATTGTCATTGAGGTCGGCGATGAGGATGACGACTCGAATCAGGACCAGAAGGAGGAGGATCGTCCAGCGATTCATCCAAATCTGAGAGAGTCTAGACCGGAGACTGAGGTACGGAGTAACGGTAGGAGCAGTATCAGCGCGGGCTTCCTGAACCTTTCGCATCTCGGACATTTCGATCGACTCTGTCCGGAGGGAGTCAGGGACGGCCGGGTAGACCGGCGGATCGTCGGATTGTTTCCGTGAGGAGAACATGTTGAATCTATGCGTGTTGGTATCTCTGAAAGATCAAATATGAAAATAGAGAAGAGAGAATAGAAGTTGAAGGGAAAGGCAGAGGATGATGCCAATATTCGAGTGATCCCTGGATTAAGACGGAGGAAGTGTGACGATTAACTAGACAAAGAGAGAGATGAAAGAAATGGGACAAAGGAAAATTAACGGCCGTGAGCAAAAGATTTCCCGATCTAGACTCTATGATTCCATGATGACCTTGTTTATTGTTGTGAATGAGGGGAGGTGAGAGATTGTGTGTGTGAAAGAGGAAGCAAAATGTAGAATAATAGGACAATAGGAAGGGGAGCAAAGACAATAAGGGAAGTTTTGGCTGCAAGGCGCTGCAACTTACCCCATGTTAAAAACTCCACTATTGGAACCTCGAATGAATGAGAATTCCCCAAATAGGAACCAGACTCAGAACCGCCCTCAGATTTCCTTTCTCGCCTTTGAGCGGCTGGCGCTTAGACCTTGCAAAGTGAGGTCGGGTTAAGCGCCCGCCCAACACCGGTGGCCACTCACGACGCAGTAGGAGGCCTGAGTAGAAGAGGCTTCAAACTGAGCCGAGAGCACACAAAGAATACGGGCCGCTCAAACAGGTCCGAAGCTGACGTCTCCTTAGCTGACGTTTCTAATAGAATGGGGAGGCTGGAGTGTTGATGAGTCTTTTCAGGCCTTGGGCTATCGTTGTTTGACTTGTCACTTGAAGTGGCCCAGCCGCCTCAAGCACGGATTGTTTAATAGGTCGTTCCAAAAAGAGAAGAATTGACAAACTTGCACAAATGAGAAAAAAAGTCACAATATCACGGGCATCAATAGGCAACCTCCAAGTGAATGGGGTGCAAACCGAAGCGTAGATATATAACAAGTGACTCACGCAGATGAGCAAGGGGGTAAAAACACCACGGAACGACGTCGTGAATGGTGCCCACCGGAAAAGAAAAGTCTCACCATCAGGCACGGCAGCGGAGAGCAGGTCATTTTAACTGATAGGGAAACGACGCATCTTGATTTCGGGCAGAGAGTGACGCCATTTCGAGCAGGTCCCCCCATCGCTGTGCCCGAGGCCGTGACCGACTACGGCATGCGAGATGGGCGAATAGCACCGAGACCCATCGTAAAGTAACTGGCGATAGCAGGGTCTCTCAAGAAACAAAAGGGCGCCATATTCCAAACGGATAGGATCATCTCCAACGCAGCCCGTGGTGGTGAACGTTTTCACGGTGGCGGACCGGGATGTCGTCGTGAAGAGTGTGGGAGAAGGCAACGCCTCAGGTCCAATCAAGCCTTTGTTCAGCCCATTTATCCCTGGTCCCTGGTCCCTGCCACCCCGGAAGGGCTTCTAAAATAGGTCAAAGGGTCCCTCCAGGGTCTTTGGCGAACAAGGGTTCACGTGGCCGACAACCGCCGATCTCGTTCCAAGGCCTGCCACTTGGCAAGTCTGAACAGCGTCGAAACAGGATTTTCTGGAACGAGGTAGCTCGTGTTTCTGATCATCGCCGTGCAGATTCTGAAACGAGAGAGTCTGCGGTGAGGAAGAGTCATTCTTTAGCGGATGGTGAATCAAGCTTAAATTCTGGTCTTGGGAGCTGTGACGTCATATGGAGGGGAACTGGGATAGGGAACACCATCCCACCTCAAGACGAACCGAGCTATTCATGGCGAGAATAGGTGACGATAATAGAATCATTCCTTCAGCGGTTCTCGTAAAGTGTTTTCGGGTTGTAATTTTACAAAGCGCCTTGTGTATCGAAAGAGGTCGCTGTTTGGGCCGCTTCGTGTGAAATGATTGGCTGTAATTACAGCGGCTCACGGTTCAGTTGGCGCGTCGTGAAACGAGAACCTGGCATTCGAGAAGATGCAGCCCAACCATCACGGCACAAGCTTAAAATAGCCAGACGGCCTGGAACTGTGATATTTGAAGTCTGGGCAGACCGTTTATTTCTTTGAGCACCGTGCACTGCTTTCGCCGGTATGGATGTGTCTGCCAAGCAGTCACTGGTGATTTGACGACTCCACAGCGGTGAAAGGTTCCAGCGCCTCCACGATCACAGATCGAGCATATGCTTGCATTCGTTCTCATGTCCCAGATCCATACACGCGGCTGAAGTACGAGTGTTCAGGCCATGGCTACTCTTGCTCGAGGAAGGCTCTGTGTCTCGGATGCGTCGGTGGTTTCACCCACTCAGCAGTTGCTGTCGCGCTGCCCTGGATAGCGGGGTACATCAAGATTCCCGACTTGAATACCCTCAACCCCATCACCATCACTATCATATTCTTGCCAGTAAATCAAACTCACCAGATTGCACATCCTGATTGCTATACAATCTTTACAACTACTCACCAACCATGGCTACCACGGCGACTGACAACCAGGCCACCGACCTAAGCAAGCAATATGACACTCCTCTCGGCCTCGCCCACTCCACCATGCAAGCTCTCAAAGACAGGATCAAGCTCCACTATGACTTGGCCAGTGACTATTACCTAAGTTTGTGGTGCGTTTTCAAGTTGGCCTTGATCACAATTAAAGCATCATCATCCTCCGCGCCTTGACTCTTGTGTATCTTGCTCCCTCAGCCTACTAACTCCTCATGCCAGGGGCGAGCATATCCACCACGGGTACTGGCCAACTCTAGAATCCCAGGAAACGCAGACGAAAGAGGAGGCACAGATAAACCTCATCCGGCTATTGCTCGACACCTCAAAGCTTTCGTCCAAGACGGCTATTCTTGACGTGGGATGCGGCATCGGTGGGACGTCTCGCTATCTAGCCTCCGAGCATGGTTGCTCCGTCACAGGCATCACCATCTCTCCCAAGCAAGTCGAGATCGCAAACCGCCTCACCAAAGCCGCGAGTGAAGAACGTCCACAGACGGACTCGAGTAAAAGCCTAGATGACGGTGGCTTCACCCGACTGGGCGCCGGAAAGGTCCGGTTTCTCGAGCTAGATGCCGAAAAGATGGGTGACTTCTTTGACGACCAGCAAGGATCCTTTGACGCCGTCTGGATAAGTGAGGCTTTAAGCCATTTCCCAAACAAAGCTTTGTTCTTTGAGAACGCGAAAAGGGTCCTCAAACCGGGGGGTAAGCTTGTGTTGGCGGACTGGTTTAAAGCCGAGGACCTAGACGAGGCGGCCTTTGTCAACGACATCAAGCCCATTGAAGGTAACAAGTGACTAAATAACAAAAACCTGCTCCAATACTAACTTCAGGGTAGATGGCATGCTTCTTCCCCCACTCTGTACTCAGCAAGGCTATGTCGATCTTGCGAACCAGGCAGGGCTCAGCATCTTCTCTGGTCCAAACGATATCAGTCAAGAGGTCCGAAAGACATGGTATGTACTTCGCCCAGTTAGCCATATTACCAGGCTCATTCGTTTCTCAACAGGGACATTACTTGGTCGCTCGTCCAAAATCCATCTCTTTGGGCATTCGCCTTTACACAGGGCCGTGATGGCATTGCCTTTTTGCAATCATTTCGCGCCATGAGGCGTGGATATGCAAATGGTGCTTTTCGATACGCTGTCATGGCATTTGTCAAAGGCGCTGATATCTAGCACAGCAACTTGGCTATTCGACTTATTACTTGGGGTATCTGGGTGCTCATCCTAGGTAAACTCTCATAATTGTCTGTTATTCTTAGTCTAATCGCACACCTGGTAGGAGGTAGGACAATCGAAGATAGGATGGAACCCGCGCTGGTTCTTAAACAAAGATGCGCCATAGCCAGCTTGACATGGCTGCCAAATATCTGCTACCCTTCTACTTCAGCCGTGGCAGCCAGTGTGTGCCTTGACCCATTCCCTGGTTCTCAACTCCTAGTCATCCACATTATAATAGCCGACATAGAACTATTCATAGTCAGGTCTGAGTAAAGGCGCATTAGCACCAGAAAAGGCAGCCACAACGATCATGGCCCATTGGAGGTCGATCATAGCCTTGAAATGGACCGCTTCGGAGTTGGGCATCCTGACATGGATCAAGTGTCCAGATGGGATCGAGAGCTCGGGCAATTCATAAATCAAGTTAGAGTCCTCGTCACTATGAAGTGACTTGGCACACTCAACCATCTTGTCAAAGTCGTTGTCTTCTCCTTGTAGCGACATCTCCTTTGCCGGTTCCATATATCGCCATGGCATCCAATGGAGTTGTAGAATGACAACAGACTCGTCTTGGGTAGTCGACTTGATGCGCAAACACTTGAATGCGAGCTTGGCGCTTCTCCAAAAGCAGGAACTCGAGAGACCGAGACAAAGCATATTCCACACCTTGTCGGAGCCTCCTAGTTGCCGTGGGTTTAGAAGATATAGCCGATATCTAAGGAGCGAATGTTTGCCGAAGAAGGCTTGGATATGCTGAAAGACTTTTTCTGTCTTCTGGGTGTTGGCCTGGGTGTCGTTCCATGCGTAAGGGACGATATGGCCGACCCAAGGCTTGCTTGTGCCCATTAGAACGCAGACATTTCCGTCTCGCTCCGTGCACTTGCGCTCCTCAGGATGTTCTGGTCTTTTATAGGGTCTTTTATAGGGTACCAGTTGATTCAAGACTGTGGGGGGAGAGGAAATCGTTAGCTCGCAAGCTTATATACCAAGCCAAGGATGAACCATCGATACTCACAATGCTTGACAAGTGATGGCAGGCCCACTAGTCGTTCATGCAGCTTTCCCGATAGGACTCCAGACGATAGGTAGCCGCCGGGGCGAAGGGTGGACAAGGGAACGAACAGGATAATGGCGACTTGTGCGGCGTTGAGTTTGAAGTTTGCGGTTTTCGGATGGGCGCGGATTTCTGACTCGATCTTGATGGCAAATTCTCGTCGTATCTCGGCCTCGTGGACAGGCAGGAGAACATCAGGTTCTTGGAATATTGGTTCCGCTCCCATCTTGCTCTATGATGAAGTGACAATGAATACGAAATAGTGATGGTTAGATCTGGCTCGGGCGTCTTCTAGACGTATTCTAAGTGACAAGACTGTCAAGGTATCACAAGATCCTCCAGGTGCTGAAGAAGTTGCCGAGTTCGTGAGTAAGCTTGTCTAGGAGTTTGGGACGATGAAGGCGAGGGTGGGAGAAGAGGAGCTGGAGGAGGAAAGAGGAAGACGTGGCAACAATCAAGATTAAAGAGGGTAGGGAGGTTAGGGTTCATATGCATGCAGAAAGTATCACGATCGAGTCGTCGTTTACTTACAAGTTGTTGAGAAGTTCGCGTATTTCACTGCCTTACCTGTATCTACATGTCCAGCTTGCACCCTACCATAAGAATTGAATCGGGAATTAGAAGACGGCCTTACATAAGATCTCGTTTTTCATCGCTATATCTATTTTATCATGTTTGAAAATGGCCATTAAACAAAGTTGCTAAGAAACATTCATGAGGGTTTGTTGAAGGTGGTGTACCAAATATCCGCCCCTCGAAAGCACAGAAGCAACAGAGAGTTTTCGTCTTCATGCACACATTCAGATGGACAGATCATAGAAAAAGGAGGGAAATGCGATCACAGCCAGTGATTCCTCACTCTTGAGATATGGATACAAAGAGCGTATTCAGCATCCTTAGTTGCCCAAAGGATAGGAATCGATAGCGACTGGAAAGCCTCGCTTATCACACGCAGACCAAGGCGCTAATCTAGAATAGCCGTCCAGGCACATGGCGTGCTAGCGTCAGTTCCGGAGCTAAGGTCATCAGGTGATGAGCACAGCTGCCTGGAAGTAGTCATTGTTCCCATCAAGCTCAGCTCAGCGTGACTGAATCCGGGCAGACTCATCAAGGGAAATGACGTTGTCCTGGTGACAAATGGAATACGGTTCAACGCAATGACGAAAATCAGATCTTCGGGCAGCAGGCTTGATATTGTCTACCAACTTGCAGTCCTCGTTCCACTCGCGCTGTCAGAATAATACCAACAAAGCTGGAGGATTTGCGACGAGACGCAGAGCAGTGCGGGCTCTACTGCATCCCGATATCCCGGCTCGAAATCAGAGTACAATAACCAGTACCGTTCAACAAAATAGAATCACCCAATACAACCGAAACGCCTTCATCATTCTCGACGTAGAATTGAGTACCGATCCAATACGACTTGCTCTTACGCGTCACCAAAGGTGTTCTCGCCAGAGTAAGTGATGTAGAGGAAACTAGACGCATGTCAGCAACAGGTTCATTTCTAAGGAGGGCAACAGTAGACATACCCGTCCTCGTCCTTGTGCTCCTCGTAGATGCTGCTCATAAGAGCGGCCGTGGGGGGAAGGACCTCGTCGACGAAGATGAAGATGGCCTTCTCGGGCGACAGCTTGATTCGCTTGCGGATGACGTAGACGAACTGGCCAACAGTCAAATCGGCGGGGACCAGGTACTTCTTCTTGTCGATGGTCGCGATGTCGCTCTTCTCGACCTTTTCGCAAATGACCTATTCAGCGCGTTTGTCAGCACTCGATCCCTCGAAAGTGTCGTCGGCAGCGACAGCGGCAGCCATGTCTGACGGGACGACGCAGGGCGGTGACCCCGCGCATACCCTCGACAGTCTCTCGTCGAGTCGCAGCCGACGTCGAACAAAATAAACACAACAAGAAAAGATGACATACCGGAATGCGGTCGGCATACTTCTGTCGGATGCGCTCGGCCTCGGCCTTGCGCTTTTCGAAGGGGTGCTCGTCCTTGAACTTGCTGCGCATGGTGGATGATTGATAAGATCGAAGGCGGTAAGTGTGTTGTTGTTGTTGTTCAAAGTCGAGCTTGGCTTTTGCAGGAAGACGCAAAATGGAGGTTGCAGAAATGGGAAGATCGAGATGGAGTTGGGATGGAGAGGAAAGAGCTTAGGTTACGATCGGCTTGCGTCAGGTAGAAGAAGAATGAGAAAGAGAGCCTTAAAGGTGGCACGGCACAGATAAGCGGTCGGCCAGACTAGAAAGAAGGCAGCAACAGGCAGGAGGCGGAGGCAGCGGTAGCGGTAGGCGGACAGGCAGGCTCTCACTGGCACTGCGCAAGAGGGCAGGCGGGCAGTGACAGGGAGGAGGCCAGGCGCGCGGGGCCGTCGGTCTAGCCCTAATCTAGTTTAGCTCCATCAAGGTCGGTGAATCACAAGAGGCCCCGCGAGGCAATGATGGCGGGGGAGCAGCAAGTCAGGCGTCGCACTGTCTCGTCACAGGGTCGTGACGTGACGTGAATCACTGCTGAACAAATCACGACTGCTGACAGGGGAGAGTCCAGGAGTCGACCTTTTTTTCACTCAGTTCCTCATTTTCAAGTCCATCATAAGCTTGACGCCAAGGGGTAGACCTGATTATCTTCATTGCCTATCAAGGAAAGGGCAGATCGGGAGAGCTTGCGGCTCTCAAAGAAGATTCCACCATTCGCCAGTGACTCTGTTGATGCTTAAACATCTACGTACTCGCAACAACAAAAAAGCATCTTCAGAAACAAACCTTTTGTTTCTGCAGGTCACTCGGACCCAATCCCTGAAAGCCCCTCTCTTGTAAATGTTTGTAGATACTTGTGATTCTTGTCCTTTTTCTTCGTGGTTTGGTCTGTTCACCCCCCTTGCTCACTCACACTTGGCGGCTCCCCCTGCCCATGCACTGCATTCCCTCCTTGCATTGGATATGCTGAACCAGCTGTACCCAAACCCAGTCACCGAGGAAAAGGTTGGCCATCACGGTGGGAAAAAAGTAAAAGGCAAACAAGCGTAGCGCACTGTCCCCACCACCTCGGTGCCTCCAGAGGGGGGAAACAAAGCGTGCCAGGGTTGAACGGCTTACATGAAGCAAGCTGCAGCAAGGTCACGGGATAGATCACATGCCTCAGGAACGAAGCTTGAATATCAGAAAGAAGAGATATTTCAAAAGACCGGGAGTCCGGAGAAGCATTTGACAGAATCAAAGTATTCCGGAGGTACAAAGACCAAGTACCTCCGAGTGGTGCGTTGGCTTTACCGCTCTCGGCAGCCCGTCAGCCGATTCCGCCGGCCGGCCCCAGCGTCCGCTCCCTGGGGGGTCGAGAACTACGAACTACGTCGAGAGAAGCCAATTGCCAAACATTCGATTCTGACCATCACCCGAGTCCCAATCGGCCCAAACCGCGAATTGAACCCTACCAAACTCTGCCGCTCTCTCTAAAACACCCCGGCTTCTGGCGGCAAAGGTGGCCTCACATTCAGTCAAGGAAAATCACCTGATTTTCGGCACATTTTTCCTTCCTTCTCGGCCTTGCTCTGCCCGCTCGAAATATATAGGTCATGGCTTCCAGGCGGCCGGTTCAGCGCCTTGCTGCGCATCTTGCATCTCCCTCTACACGCTTCTCCCAGAGTCAATTCGCTTCTACGAGACGCTGGCTGTCTAGCTCTGCCGGTTCTCGAGCTTCCCGATCCGCTTCGTCCTCCAATTACTCCTCGTTGTGGCTGGCCGCTGTCGCCCTTGGTGCCATCGCCCCCCTCGCCTACAAGATGGTATGTCCTCACGAGGAGCTCCCAGGAGGGCCAATTACTAACGTAGAGCCTCGCCCAGGCTGAAATCGAATCCCTCCGTCTCGATCCAGTCACTCTCGCCGACCGCGATGCTCAGAAGAAGCGCGAGTCGGGCGTCTCAGAGGACTCGCCCATGCGCCTCCGTATGGAAAAGTTCATTAGGGAACAACAGGCCCAGATTGTTGCCGAGCTCGAGAGGGTCGACGGCAAGAAGTTCCGCAAGGATGAGTGGGAGCGTCCCAACGGTGGAGGTGGTACTACATGTGTCCTCCAGGAGGGCAACGTCTTTGAAAAGGCCGGCCTCGGTGTCAGCGTCGTCTATGGCTCCCTGCCCAAGCCCGCCATTGAGAAGATGCGCGCCAACCACAAGACTCTCGACCCCAATGTCGAGTCCCTCGACTTCTTCGCTGCCGGCCTGAGCATGGTCCTTCACCCTTACAACCCCATGGCCCCTACCGTCCACCTCAACTACCGATACTTTGAGACGGCCAACCCCGACGGCACATCACAGGCTTGGTGGTTCGGCGGCGGTAGCGATCTTACCCCCTCGTACCTCTTTGACGAAGACGCCATCCACTTCCACAAGACGCTCAAGTCGGCCTGCGACGCCCACGACAAGGACTACTACCCACGTTTCAAGAAGTGGTGCGACGAGTACTTCTTCAACAAGCACCGAGGCGAGGGTCGCGGCATCGGCGGCATCTTCTTTGACGACCTCGACGAGAGCGAGCGGGACCAGGAGAACACGTTTGCCTTTATCCAGGACTGCCTCAAGTCCTTCCTCCCCTCGTATGTGCCCATCATCGAGAAGCGCAAGGACATGCCCTTCAACGAAAAGGAGAAGGATTGGCAGCAGCTGCGCCGGGGCAAGTACGTCGAGTTCAACCTGGTGCACGACCGCGGGACGGCGTTTGGCCTCAACACCCCCGGCTCTCGTGTGGAGAGCATCCTCATGAGTCTGCCGTTGACGGCGGGCTGGAAGTACATGCACGAGCCCGAGCCCAAGAGCAGGGAGCAGCGCCTGGTGGAGGTTCTCCGGGATCCCAAGGAGTGGGTTTAAGCCAATGTTGGATTTATCGAATGCGATATGGAAAGGAAATGGTTACGAGTACGTATGTGAAAGGCGGAGCGATTGGTTTAGTGTATCATACCTTGGGATGTGAGGATCATAGATGGAAGAGCCCAGGGCTGTACAAAAATATGGATGGATAATCCAAAAAGGCAAGAATAAAGAAAATAATCATGAACCAAATACCGTCAACTTCCAATTACTCTACTCTGTCTTATCAGTATGTGCGGTCGTCCAAGTTGTCAGGCTCACTATTGGTGATCATCAACTCAGTCATCACACCTTCTCTATGTGGAGTCAAAGTCTTGCTCTTCACCCTCACTTCACCATGTGACAAGCATCAAGGCAATGGAGCCTCTCCCTTCTCATCGCCAACTGGTAACAACTCTCATAACATCTATATCCGATATCGCACCGTCAAAAAGCGTCGGTGAAACGACATCATCAGAGCCGCCCCCGCCTGCTCAGCCGCCATCCACATCACCCCTCCAGGCCATCCCATCCTCGCAACGCCCTCTCCTTCTCACGCTACATGTTCTCTTCCCAAATCTCCTCTTACCAGCTCTAGATCTCCTTGATAGGGGACTTGTCACTCGACTAGTACGGAAGTACTCTGCCGCACAAGACGAACAGCCGGGCGGGGATGGAGAACCGGTATCTGGAGACTTGAACGCTTCAAGTAAACCAAACGACGACATCTTTATCGTGCGCTCCCTCGCTTCAACGCTCACCCGCCGCACTCGCGACTTCACTCTCTCTTCAAAACGATATGTTGTTCATCTCAATGCGTGGAACTGTTCCTGCGCAAGCTTCACCTTTGATGCTTTCCCTAGTCATCCAGCACCAGCAACAGAACAGATGGAATGTACCTCGCGAGATGAGTGGTCATTTGGTGGACTAGGTCTAAACCCATCCGGCGATGTACCACCTTGCTGCAAGCATCTACTCGCTTGCTTACTTGTAGACAAATGGCCGGCAATACTAGGCCAATATGTTGAGGAGAGAGAGATATCGAGGGAAGAAATGGCAGGCATAGTTGCAGACTTGTGATACGAGCAATTCTAGCAATGAATGCCAGAAAATTGTTAATACCAGGGCGATGTCCGGCAGATTATCCTTGTTCCGTCCTCTAAACCCCGGTTTGATGTGATCAATGTACAAAAGGCGATTTGCCTTGACCCTTGGCCGATACCGCCGTGGTTCCCTCCACCAGGCGCCAAAGAGCTTCTGCACCCTAATCTATGCCCTTCTACAGTCACTTGGCTTCCTTCTTTATTTCTTGGCCTCCTTCTCCTTGGTCTCCTTGTCCTTGTCGGCGCCCTCCTTGGACTCGCCGCTCGCGCCATTAGTGCCCTCCTTCTTCTCGTCCTTGCCGTTGACCTCCTCCTTCTTGGCCTCCTTGTCCTCCTGCTGTTGCCGGTTCTGGATCTTGTTCTCGATCAGGTCGTGGAATGCCGTAATCGCGCGTATCAGACTGCTCAGGTAAATAGCCATGAGCTGGTCGTTGGTCTTGATGCTCATCGCATATGAAAGCTCGCCAGCGCCCGACTTGGGGTCTCCCTCAGCCGAGGTAAGGTTGGGAAGCAGGTTGAAGACGTCCTGCAGGTTGCCCAGAATGGCGTGGTTGACTGGCAATTGCTTGTCGAGGACCTTCTGAAGATAGGCACCAATGTCTCGCAGGCGGAGGTGTAGGCCCTGGAGCGATTGCAGCTGGTTGGTGATTCGTGTGGATAGGGTTCCCGCAGCAACGTCGCGGATATCTCTTAGCAGATGCTCAACGCCAATCTCTTCTGCCTCCTCGGCCTCGATGATCGAAGGGGTGTGAACAAACGTTCGCGCGGTGGTTGTGCCATCCTAAGTCATGTCAGTCTGGGCAAGTCGGTCGCTAGGCACGGTTCATGACGCACATCCTTGATCTCCTCAACGGCAAAGTAAGCATCTGTGGGGACGCCCGACTCATTGGGCTGCACGTCAATGATGACGAGGAGGGGGTTAGGTGTGTAGCGCTTGAAGAGCTCGTTGATCTCCAAGTCGGATGCGCGCAGCTTAGGGCCGGTGTGGTACCACCCTATCAACTTCTCTCGGGCGTTGACCTTCTTGAACATGTCGTTCATCGACTCGACATAGTTGTGATCAAGGAACCACACTGAGGGGTCCTTGTCGTCTTCCTCAAAGGGAACTAAAGTCTCATTGTAAGCGCCCATCACCTTACCGTCCATGACACCAGGGCAACGTACCAGCAAAGCTGTTAGATACTCTCACGTCCTTGCCATCGTTCTGACCCAGAAGGACACCCACCACACGTCGCTTTGTCTTGGTAGAAGTGGTTCGGTTGTAGTGGTCGACCGCAGAGAGGAGGACGAGGGGCGCAACGGTGACGTTTCGAGTGACGAGGGAGAGTGTTTCTGCTGTTGTGGCAGGCATCGTTGCTATGTCGTCGGGGAGGTATTACAACGGATGCGTATCTAGGAGAGGAAGAGGATTCGGTGCGCGATCTCTGTCGTGCAGCGCGGCGAGGTTGAAGGCAGAGTCGAGATGTTGATGCAGTGATTATTGTGGTCGCACGTACGTAGTCTTGAGGCTGCCTTCCTGGAGAGGGTAGCTTAGCTCCCGATTGGGCCAGGCTGATTGATGGATCAAAGCTCGAGCCTCGCAACGCCACATCACGTGCAGTTCGATATTCGAGCCACATTTGAGCCACAGAATGGCAACATGAAGAACTGGGGCACTGGAGCTGGCGGAGCTGCCACAAGAGCTGGTCTTGTTGGAGCGACGATGGCTGGCTGGGAACGCGGCGTGGCTTCTTTTGTTGACCCTGCATTTGTTCTGACATCATTGCCTTGGTGAGTGATGTTCGGCCGAAGACTCGCCATTGCCGTGTCTTGTATGAGATATGCATTTGCATTTGAGGGCTTCACACTGCTACAGACGCTATCCAGGTCATTGGATATTCAAGCATGGCCACGGCAAGCAACTGGTTGGGGGAATTTCCTTTCTTGAACCGACTTCGCTCATCCCGGATATTCTGCTTTGGGTAAGTGGACGAATGTTGAGAGAGGTGTCTCCACCAGCCGGGACGCTCACCTTGACCTCGGCGCCAACCGGAGAGTGCTGGTCTCTGTCCACAGACGCAATTGCTGGCAACAACAAGACCAGAAGCCAGGTGACAAGCCTCGAACAGGGTCCAACATTGAACTCTACGTAATACGCTATCAAGATGTAGGTGCGGCAACTCGCAGACAATTCGCAGTCTTGGTAGCCTTGGTTCGGGTTATTTCCTTGGGGGAGCGGAAAGATGGAGGCTAACGTCCCAAGGGGAACGAATTGGGGTCTTGTTGAAGCCGGCTATGGCCACGCCTACGCGTGTACGCAAAGCAATAGAGGCAACGGCCAACGAGAGTGCGGTAGCAGTAACTACTGGAATAGGTAGTTATTTACACTACACCACACGGGACGCGGTGGGCGGCAACAGAAGCAGGGCGACGAACGCCGGCATATGTCGACTACCGGGTCAGTGGTCCTTGCGCTCCAGCCCGTGGTGAGCCAGCAATTCTGTATTACATGCCGGTCGGAGTGTGGCCGTGCCAGAAGTGTTTGGCCGATGAGCGGCGAGTGCGACATTGTAGACGGGACGGCGGTGCTTTGCTCGGATCAAGGGACCGTGGCATCCCAGCTCTTTGAGCCTCGGCCCTGATGACCGAGCAAACTCCGGTCGTCACTACGTACTGTAGGTAGCCCAGCCTCGAGCAAGATTCGCGATTGATGCCGCCTTGGCCAAGTTCGATTGGCTACGATTTCAATATGATCCATGGCTTCGCACCTGGGGAGCTGATGGAGCCTATCTCGACGACGGACATGTTCCGGGACGAGGAGTTTCCTTTCAGCCTACCCTAGGTATCACAGCTTTGTGTAGGTAGTGAAGCAATTCCGAATGACGAGTGCTGCGGATTTATTTCGCAGATGAAAAAACGCTCGCCCCCATATATGATTGCTTGTATCGTGTGCTACCTAGTTCACCGTATGTCATATGCGTCTCATAGTCCAGAATGGGTAATTGTAGAAGCCAAGAGTGTGATAGTTGGAGCTTGGTCAGGTCACGAACAGGTGGTGGTCTCTATTGCGCCGGAGCCGTACCGAGTACCGGCGGCAGCCATGGATGGGGGGTAGTACATACGTAGCTGGGGGCGGTACCTGTTGACGGTGCCGAATATTATATGGACATGTGTTGCCTTAAGTTGTCGGGTTAGAGACGGGGATTTTTGATGCTTTTGTTGTCGTCGACGCCGACATGGACCTCGATATCCGTCACGCTACAATATCGTGACATTGACAGCACAATTCAACATCTCTTAGGATAACAAATATCTCGTCTACAACAAATCAAGCACAGACATTTCCCGTCCACTACGGATAAAAAGCCGCTTCTCACTCACGCACGCTCAGGCCCGCGAGAGGCGTCTCCCCAGCATATCCATGCCCGGGAAACAGGGGTGTACCCCCATCCATCGCCTTCCAGCAGAAACCGCGTGCGCATCGGGCCAATCAACGCCGACCCAAGCTCCCCCCCAAAAACCTCCCATCCTCCGGCTACGCACCAAGATTTCCCTTGTCTCGCCCGTCGTTGACTTTAACCTCGCTTTTTTCCCTCTTCCTCGTTCTCCCCTCGCCTCAACCTCCCGCCCTCTCGTCTCCAAAAACATCCCTCGCCGCTGCCGTCTTTAATCCGCCTTCTTCCCTGAAGCTGCCCTCTCAATTGCCGCCAGAACACCTTCCAGAGTCCCCCTCATACTCCCGCAGTCGCAACAATGGGTTTCGTCGAAGATGAGTTGAAGCAGCTCAAGAGCGTCCTCGGCTCTCTTGACACGCGCATCAAGGCCCTCGAGGCGCGAGCTACTGGTTCTCCCGTCTCTACTGAGGAGATTCGCATGATTCTCATCGGTCCTCCTGGTGCTGGTAAGTGATTTTTTTCTCTCATGGTTGCGATATACCCTCCAGTGCCGTGCTGACCAACTCCTCACAGGAAAGGGAACCCAGGCCCCCAAGATCAAGGAGAAGTTCTCCTGCTGCCATCTGGTATGCCAATTCCCGTCGCGACAACTCGTCAAGCAAGAATTCGCTGTTCTAACGTGCCCCTCTTCGATGCGCAGGCTACCGGTGACATGCTGCGATCCCAGGTCGCCAAGAAGACTCCCCTCGGTGTCGAGGCCAAGAAGATTATGGACCAAGGTGGTCTGGTCAGCGACGAGATCATGATTGGCATGATCCGGGAAGAGCTCAACCACAACCAGGAGTGCCAGGGCGGGTGAGTCAAAATTTCTTCGGGTTCCGTGCTCGGGACGGGATCCTGGTCAACCTCGGTTTCTCTCTTCAGCTGCTGACAATCCGCTCCACGACAGCTTCATCCTCGACGGTTTCCCCCGAACAGTTCCACAGGCCGAGGGTCTCGATGCCATGCTTCAGGAGCGCAACCAGAAGCTCCAGCACGCCGTCGAGCTCAAGATTGACGACTCTCTCCTCGTCGCCCGCATCACTGGCCGTCTAGTCCACCCCGCCTCCGGCCGCTCATACCACACCACCTTTAACCCCCCCAAGTCGTACATGAAGGATGACATCACCGGCGAGCCTCTGATCCAACGAAGCGACGACAACGCTGAAGCCCTCAAGAAGCGTCTCGTCACCTATCACAAGCAGACTGAGCCCGTTGTGGGTTACTACCAGAAGACTGGTATCTGGCACGGTGTCGATGCCAGCCAAGAGCCTGGCCAGGTGTGGAAGTCTATGCTCAACATCCTCAACGAGAAGCGGGCTTAGAGCGGAGAGTTTGTGTCTGTGTGTCATGAAGGAGTGGTGTAGCCGGTTGGCTCCACGTCGCTGGCGAGACGCCCCCGCCGAAGTTATTTAAAAGAGTAGGCGGGGTGCGTCTTGGATATATGAACGGTATGGATGAAATGCAAACTGGCACGAAACGAGGGAAGGGGGCGAAAAGGGAGAAGGGGAGTCCAGTCCTCCAGGCCAAAGAGGCGTTAACGGTAGAGGGCTTTGCCCGGTGGCCTTGGGGTTCCTGTGTAGATTAAAAGCTACCGAGACGACGCTTTGCCATGTATCACACTTGTCTTTTTTTACTGCTAGTTTCAAACAAACAAAAAGGTTTGGGCATTTTGAAGCTCTAAGCTTTTTGATATACTTCACGTCTCGTCTTTTACTCTTCCAGTCTTGATCATCACCAACATGACATGTACTCTTGAACCACTATGCACGCCTCTGCACTTATTGATTCTCACGAGATAATTTCAAGGCAGGCACTTAGACGCCTCATATCTATGCCAACGATAACCGACAACGCATCTCCCTCTCTAGTACAGCTATCCATCCTCTCCCTCTTGGCCGTCAGTCTACTATGCAATGACCCCGTCAAAGAAACTCCCCGAGCTCCCTCGCAATGCTTTCAAGGACACACAATTTGAAAAAAAAGAAAAAGGAACACGGCGACACGAGTGAGTGCCCCTGCTCTCCATATTGAGGTTACGATTATAAAGGGGGTAATGGACCAGGAAAAAAAAGAGAACGGTCTCGGATGTTCCACGTCGGCAAGTCAGATGAGAGCTACCGAAACGATGGGCGAGAAAGTAAAGCAAGCCTGGCCTTGACCTAGACTAAGTGCTAAACTGTGCAGCCGAACAATGAGGCGCGCCCCTCGAGCGGCCTCATGGTCCAGCAGGGGTTCTTCTCACCCCGCGAATTCCTATCGCCGCGGGGTCGCTGACGTGAGGGTCAGTAGAGGTAGAGCGAGTCGCGGAAGCGCAACTGACCATTGACCATCTGCCTCTGCTTGTTAAGCCAGCTCCTGGGGGCGTCGTTCCGCCGTTGTAGAACGACGTGGTTGCTCTGGAGCCGGCTCGTGAGATCATACCATGCTGTCGCGATGAGGGCGTTTTCCCTCTCGAGGTTCCGAATGATTTGGTCGCTCGCCGCCTTGTCACGGTTTGTCAGTCACAGTTCGAGAATGTATTGGGGGTGTGCAAGTAGTAACTATGCACTCGGTTGCAAGTTTATGGAACCAGCCATGTTTAGTATCTATATAAAGGCAAACAATACGTACCTTTTGTGCTGCCACGGCTTCTCCGTCGTGAGCAGCCTTGAGCTTGCGTTGGAGCTCAATCTTGTCCGTCTCTGAGCGCTCGAGTTGCTGCGAAAACATGGTTAGCCAACGACACTCCAACAAAAGCTAGGAGTTGTAAAATAAAATATCCTGTCGCTTGAGAGGAGGAGGGATGGGTTTAGCTGGCTTTACATGATCTTGCGGCGGGTCTTTTTCTGGCTCGCAGACTGTCCTTTGAGGGACCATCGGCTTGAACCAAGAGAGAAAACGTCCCCTCCGAGGACGCCCCCTATGAGAACACAGCTCCCCTTGAGACCGCTTCCTTTGAGGCCGTGGCATCTCCGGCAAGTCGACTTCGACCTTGGGGGCCCCTGGCCGGAGAGGCCATGAAAGACAACGCTTTAATAGAGAAACTGCCGTCGTGCCAGGCGAACCCGCCTCTGAGACCACTGGGTCTGGGGGGTCGCCATGAGCAAGTACACAATAGAGACCACCACTTACCCCGCGTTTTTCAAGGAGTCGAGTGCGCAGTTTCGCGATCAGCTCGCTCTTCTTGTCACCGTCAGGTGCGTCACCCTCTCCTGAGTTGGAATCTTGCAAGAGTCCACCCTCTTCGACGGCTTTCCGAAGCTTGTCCTTATCAAGGAGAGCCTGGACGAGTTGCGTCTGTTGTGCATCTCGCTCCGCAACGCAGTAGCTGAGCTCCTCTCGCGCATGGTCGAGTTCCGACTTGAGCGAAGAGATGATGACAACATCGGCGGTCTTGAGCTCCTTAAGAGCGTCAGCACCCTCGTGGCCAAGAGCTGAGAGCTCTGCTCGAGCGGCGACGAGATCACGACCTTGATCAGCCACCTGGGCAGTCAGGTCCTTCTCCCGCTTCTTCGCCTGCTCAAGCTCGAATTGGGTCTGCATGAGATCCTGACGAAGATTGATAAACGCCTTGGTTCTGTAAAAGCCACCAGTAAGTACGTGTACCCCATGGGGAATGTTTGCCTCATGAATCGCCTTGACTAACCCTTCGTCGGTCATGTTGTTGATCAAAGCTTCAATTTGGTCCTGTGCAACAGCGTGCTTCTCGAAGATATCGTTGTAGGATTTCTGCAAGTGAGCTCTCTGTTTCTTCTCCTCGTCCAGCTCCCGCCGAAGTGGTGCTGTGTTTTCGGAGCCCACAGTGCTGCGCAATAGATCGTTCTCGGCCTTGAGACGGGACAATTCTAAAGGTATGTTAATCTGGGCACCGTCCTCGGTAGCTGCATCGTTCAGTTCATCCTCAAGACTGGTAGGAGCCCCCCCAGCCATGCTCATGCCAAGTGGTGGGCTCTCAACAGAGGTACCGCTCTGGATCTGATCCTGGAGATCCCTGATAAAGTTTTCGTCGTGGCTCTGTCGAGCCCGTAGGCGAATCACTTCGTCCTCGAGGGCAGCATAGTCCCTCATCAGTTGGGTCTTTTGATTTCGCTCATCCCAGAGATGCTGCTCGGACTGGGTGATCATCTTGGTCAGTTCATCCTCTGCTGTCCTGGCGCGGGAACTCTTGTCCTGTTGGTCCAAGAGTAACCGGACCTGGTCCTGCAACTCCCCCTTTTCGAACCGGAGGTTCTGGACTTCCTTGACAACATGCTGTAGGGACTCGATCTTCTGCTTATACCGCTCTGCGGTATTGGCTTTCTTCTCAAGCTCCTCAGCCTTGTGCCTCCACTCTGCTGCACTATCACGAAACTCGTCGGCTTCTCTACATCGCTCGGTCAGTTTCTGGACCTCGCTCTCAAGTTGCGCCTTGATGCGCGAGTCTTTTCGTATCGCCTCTTCGTGCCTGGCGATTATTTCCATCTGATCATGAATTTGAGCCTCGAGTGACTTGATCGCCTCGGCGCTGTTAGCGCCATCCTGAGTTGCTTTCCGTAGCACCTCGAGTTCGCGATCGTTCTTCTCCTTCTCATACTTGAGCTCCTCGTGGCTTTGCTGAAGATGCTCGAGGCGGGTGATATAATCTGATAGGGCCTTTTTGCAAATGTCGAGTTCTTGTCGTAGGTCTGCGTTCTGCTCCTCGACAAGCAGATCGATGTCTCGGGCTTCCATGACGGCGTCAATAGCCTCGTCCAGATCATCATCACCCCTCGAGTTTTGAATGTCTTGCTGTATCGTTTGGATGATTTGCATAATCTCTGCCTGTGTCTGCTTATCAAGGCCGGATTGAAGCCTGGGAACGAACTTTTGGTTGTCTGGGCCCATGGCGGCGGCCGAGAGCATGACAGCCAGAAGCTGGCAGAGGCCCTGGGGTTCGGGGTTCTCGGCAATGGCATGGTAGTCAAACTTCTTTGCCTGGCATCCAAGTTCAGGTGCTTGACGACGAATGAAGCGGAAGAGACCCTTGTAGACATTCTGGATATTCCTCTTGTTGGTTAGGTATCGTGATGTGCCGGTATTCGCCTCGAGCTCAGTGGGGTCGAAATCTTGATCGAGCTCATGTAGGATATAGCCGAGAACAACACCGTCGTTGAGCTCATCGAGAGAGTCGGCGGACCGCTTCGGCTTGAATACTCGGTTGGCCTGAGAGAATGCGCGGTCAGCGGGGACTTCGGAGAGGGGGGAAGGGGAGGAAAGAGAAGGGGTTTAGAGATGATACTTACGGCTTTGAGGAGTGCCGCCTGCGCCTTGGGACTGTAGGTGGGCATCGTGCGGGATGATGCGGCCGGAGCCATGTGCGAGTTACTTGAAGTCGTGGATCAGTCTGTCGGTATCGGTAGATTCGAGCGATAGTGAAGGCGCAATTATAGGGAGTCGCGTCGCGTGTCTAGATGCAGGGATGACAGCAGAGGTCCTCGACGGCATAGCGGCAAGAGGTATATAAGAGATCGTTATAAGGTTGTGCGAAAGCGAGGTTCCATTGTCAAGAAGCGATTGTTCGAGGTGTGTTCAACTGTAGGGACAAGGTCCGAGTGAATCTGTTCCTTCAATGCTCAGCGACTCCATGTACCTAAAGCCCTCCACATGGGTGACATGGGGGAGCTTAGGTCGGCTTATCGATTTGCTACAGTACAGTGGCAGGGGCCCTGAATCGGGTGCCCCTGGAAGCCCGTCATTTGTGGCGCTGTGGCGCGCATGAAATGACCCGGATCAGCAGCGTCATTTGAGGCATTCAATGTTACGGAAATGCGATCTAGTTTGAGAAGACACTCTGGTTTCGACATGCAGAGATAATAGGTAGCATTTGGCTGTGCCGGAAGAGTAAGGACTGGCAGACGCCTTTGTTAGTATTGTGCCACAAAGGTCGTGTTCACCCCCATCGCAAACGTCATTCTTCAGCCTGGACCCTGAACAGATGGCGGTCTACAAGCTCAAGTCCGAGCTCTATTCTCCTAATCGAGATTTGAATAGAGCACCAGACTCTCGGCATTCCAGTTGAATAGGTACCAACTGCTTCGCTCATTGAGGCGCATGGCACCGTCATCACGCTTGACCTGGCTGGCTGGCTGGTCACCGGAGGGCCCCGGAGGAGTGTCCAGAAGTGCGATGCCCAACATCGTGTAGGCTTGCTGTATGCCTGTGTATTCTGTACTTCCTGTTCTATAGAGCATGGCGTACTTTACATACATAGACCAAGGCCTGATTTGCCCGTGAGGGCATTACAATGACCGGCTCATGTTGAATCTGAAAGCGAATGTTTCCCCAAGTTCCATGCCAACGCATCCCATCCTGTAACGCCAAAACAAGGATATCAATAATCCTGACTGCTGCCAAGTCGGCAGACGCGAAATCAAAGGCTTGCTGTCATCGTGTCTCCAAGTACTCATCAACTCGGCGCATCAACCGGTAGTGCATCCCCTTCTCTAGGATACAGAGACAACCTCGTCCTCCTCGACCTGGATCTGGTGATCGGCGTGTGACGTCCGGACAAGTTCGAGTGCCTTCTCGGGTGCGATGACGGAAAATCCCCTGAAACACTGTTAGTATTACTGCGCCATTTGGCCGAGTCGCTGCGGGGGTCGTACTTGATAATGGTGTAGATGTGGGTGATCTTGCCGCCAGCCTTGATGAGGGAGTCCTTAACCTCGTTGACGACGGAGTCGGGAGTGGACTCGTCGTTGAACCAGACGATGGCCGACTTCTTCTGGTCGACGGCGAGCGCGCCGGGGACGACCGCGAGGGCAGCGGCGATGAAGGGGAGGAATCTCATGGTGATTAAGGGGTCGTTGGTATCGGTATCGTAATGTGAATGTTGTTGATGCAAGCGAATATCGTTGCGACAAATTTGCGGGTGTTTTGGCGATGTAGAATATCGGTAAGGTCGAGCGTCGTTGCGGAGTGCGATGACTGGAGGCTTTATGGATGTGAAGGCGAAAGTGAGGTGCCAGACGGCGGGACCGACGGGTTGCATACCAGTCACAGAGTCACTCCACCGAGTCCAACCTGATGCACGAGCCAGTCGCCAAGGCGTGGCCGGATGAGGCAGGTGGCCTGCCAATCGCTTGCTGGCCTAGGCACCGAGCAAACTCTCGCAACCTTAGCCGAGTTACAATATCATTGTGCTTCCAACAAACAGGGTCTGCGGCAACACAAGGACCCTAGAATTTCGGCTGATTGTCTACCTACCCGGGTGAAGGGGGGGTTCAGGACAGTATGACATATGACTTGCTTCACACTGTCGGGTTTATATTATGGCTTCATGATAAAAAGTCAACATAATATCTTCTAAAAACATCTCTCAATTATAACATAATTATAACATCATGATTAGCCCATAACAGAGCTATATCATCATTATAATAGCCTTGCGCATTCGACAGATATTATTCCTTAGCATTATGCTCCCTTTAACTAGCTGGCTTAATGATACAGTGCGGACAGGCTGCCTCAAAGCCCCCGTCACACGGGTAGGTAGTCTCTCATCACATATACCTACGCGTATGGCCTCGTCCCAATTATTTCACTCCGGCAACGGGCCGCTGTGGGCATCGGCCCGGCTTCACCTTAAATACACCCGACAAGCAACATTAACAAAACACGGCAGTTGTTTTTATAGGATGCAGTTAAAAATCCGTTCCAGTCTTGTGTCAAGGTTTCTAGCATATTAATGGCTCTCATCTTGAGTCTGTACAATGATATTGGTTACGCTTCGCCTTCAGTGTACCCACATGCCAATGATACCATCGTGTAAGTCAAATTCTCCGAGCGGCCTCCAGACAGTTAGCGGAGTAGATCCATGCCTCCTGGCATAGTCAAAGTATCAAAGGGGGTTGCCGCTATTTCCAAGTTGAAAAAATGTGGCCCAATCAATCACAGTCTTGTATTATGCATTGCCTGAGTTGTATCTTGATCCATGCTAACATACTCATCCAATACTACTAGCCTACCTATGCATGAAGGTGAAGCCCCCAAACGCCGAGCTGAAATCCAGAAATATCTATCAATCTGGCCATGCTTATGTTCCCATGACTCCGGGAATACCTTCAGTTTCATTCCACACCTCCTTGCTTTCTTGCTCAACAGCCCTCATAGCCAGAGCAACATCCTCCAATCGGGTGACAACGTCGATAACTCCTTGGTTGACTCGCTGGAAATACCGATCGTTGGCTTCTCTCCTCTTCCGCGCAAGTAGAATATCCACTTCTGTCTCTTCTTCCAGCTTGTCACCAAGCCCCTCGACTCCTGCCCCGCTGCTATTAGGACGTGGGATGCTGCTGCTTCCAACTGTGCTTTTTGCTGCATCTGTCCCGTCGATGCCTGACTTTGAGTTGTCGCCCAACGTTGCCTTCAAGTTTCGAACCTCCTCACTGGCCATGGAGGCATGGTCGTGCTGCGCTGTCTCTATCACATCGTCTGCTTCACTCCTGGCCCAGGCTTGAGCAAGAGCAATCTGAGCAGCTCTTAGATCAGCCAGCTTGCGGTCATGATCGGGTCCAAACACGTGAGTTCCTCCAGATGCTGAAAGCTCAACGTCCTCGAGAGTTGCTTGCATCTCAGACCATAAGAGATCCGTCCGGTCACCAGTTGCTCGAGTGCTTTCCGCGGGAAAGAGGCCAGGCCGTTGGGGGCTCGGCGTGAGAACGGTGCCGGAACGGACAGAAGGTGCACGCTCAGCATTTGAGCGGTAGCCAGGCGTCAGGTTTGGCTGGCCCAGAAAGGGAACAGTAGGCGGTGGGCCATTTGGTGGTAGAGAGGCATTGGAAGCTGAAGGAGAAGGATGAAGGAAAAGAGCGGGAGGTGGATCCCGTTGTCTGCTCTGAGGTCTCGGCGTATGAGACATGATGATATCGGGAGCTCCTTAAAGCATTAAGTTGTGTAGGCAATGAGAAAGTGATGCGCTTCACGTTGTCGCTAAGAGGCGGATACTACACCGAGAGTCTAGACCCCTTGTTAGTCGAGATGAGAGATGCTGAGTTGATACAGTGCCAACTGAGCGGGGTGCCACACCGACACGGTACACCTTAGCAGCTTGAATCAGTCCACTCGGCTGCAGGTAAGTGGGGTGGTTTGAGTTGAGCATTCTCACGTGACGCGTCAGGTGCTTGCCTCCACAAAGTGCATGGGGCTTAATTCTCTAGGGCCTTCAAACCCTACTCGGAATTTGTTGGCTGGCTCCTCCAACTTTTCGTCGCCTCCGCTAATTCCCATCACCAACCGTCGTCGCGATACACAGACAAGTCCGGTAGGTGCCCCAGCGAAGCCCTTCTCATTCCATCAGCTGCCCTCATCGCATCCGAGTCCTCGCATCGACATCGACTAACGACTTGAAGCAAAAATGGCTGGAGGCAAACCCCGTGGTCTTAACGCTGCGCGCAAGCTGCGAACGAACCGAAAGGACCAGAAATGGGCCGATCTCGCCTACAAGAAGCGTGCCCTCGGCACTGCCTTTAAGTCCTCGCCCTTCGGTGGCTCTTCCCACGCCAAGGGCATCGTCCTCGAGAAGGTCGGTGTCGAGGCCAAGCAGCCTAACTCTGCCATCCGAAAGTGTGTCCGTGTCCAGCTCATCAAGAACGGAAAGAAGGTCACTGCCTTCGGTACGACGACCCCAAGACACCACGAGAGATGAACAATGGTTAAACTAACAATACTACAGTCCCCAATGACGGTTGCTTGAACTTCGTGGACGAGAACGACGAGGTCCTCCTGGCCGGTTTCGGTCGCAAGGGCAAGGCCAAGGGTGATATTCCCGGTGTGCGATTCAAGGTCGTCAAGGTCTCTGGTGTTGGTCTGCTCGCTCTGTGGAAGGAGAAGAAGGAGAAGCCCCGTTCTTAAGCGCGATGCCCGGGGAAGGAAACAAAGTCACATTTCGGCAGAGGAGTCCATTCGGCTTGCTTGCATCGGCATTACTGGTTAGGGTTCTGGTCCTGGGAGACGCGGTCTGAAAAGGAAAATAGATCAAAAAGTCTTCGACGAACGAAACTACGTGTGCACGTCGCGTGAGGGAGAACCCGGGATGCATTCCCACCGATTCATGTATGATGACATTATGGTACAATTGGATATTATACATGGCCTCACTGCTCCGTCTTGGTTTCGTCTTTAGGCCCTTGGACGTACCTGACTGCGTAGTCTGCAGCCAAGCCGAGGCTTATCACTCCTCCTGTGATCCAGCAGCCATTGATGAACCACCACCAGCAATCCTTGACACTCTTGAGGTTGACTCGCTTGATCATGACGCCAAGTGTGACGATTGCTCCTCCACAGCTTCCAATGAAGAAAGCTGGTCCAGCACCAGCCGCAAAACCAGCCGCGGCGAGTAGGGAAATCTGCGTAGCCGCCAAGCCCGTCAACACTTGTTTGGTCTCAGCATCGTGCTTCAAAGCAATGCTCTTGATCCCTGCCTTGACATCATCCTTGATGTCCATGTGAGCATAAATCATGTCGTACAGGACTGTCCATGCAATGTTTGAGGCGTAGAGGCAGGCGGCGGCAGTCAATGCGGGGGTGTTTGACAACAAGTCGATCCCGAGTGCTGGGAAGCCCATTATGGCGCCCCATGAGAAGGTCAGGCCGAGGACAGCTTGAGGGTAGTATGTCACTCTCTTAGCCAGAGGGTAACTCGCAACTAGGAGCAAGCTGGGGACGCCGTAGAAGAGACAGGGAAGAGGGAATTGAAGCAAAATCCCTAGACCTGCAAGAAGCTGGACTCCGGTATAGACAAGCCCCTTGAACGGAGTGACCGCGCCACGGGCAATGGGTCGAAGTCGCGTCCGTGCAACATGAGGGTCGAGGTTTCGGTCCCAGAGATCATTGATGGTGCATCCCGCTCCTCGCATGATGAGAGCTCCCGAAAAGAAGAGGAGTGAGGTGCCGATGACGGAACCTGGTGTTGCCATGGGCATCACCATTGGAGCTGCCATGAGTGTAGAGAACAGGCATGGGAAGAAGAGATAATAGGTTCCGGCAGGCTTGTCAAGGCGAATAAGTTCAGCATAAGGAACCCATGACGCTGGCAGTTTGGCCAGAATTCCATTCTCAGGTGGTCTGTATGGGGCTGGTGTTGTTGGAGGAGGTGGTGATGCCGCATCATCCGCTACCAAAGGTAAGGATCTCTGCTTCGCTTCGTGGAACCCAACAGCTCGCTGGCTGTTGTGCCATGGCTGACTCAAAACTTTGGATATTTGGACTAGAGATGGCCGAGAACCCAATTGCCTCGGAATCCTGGTAGTCCGCCTTGAAATGCCCTGGCATTGAGCCCAGGTGGAAGCCCGGGGCAATGTACTCAATCTCATGATTCACCGAGACCTAGAGGGACAGTGAGAACTCATGAGTAGCAAGCAATTGATGTGCAGTTACATGCACTCACCACCAAACTTAATCCAGAACCAATTGTGACAGCGCAAGGGCCTCAATCCCAACCAAATGGAAACTCAAGATCCAAGAGTCAAAGATCCAAAAATCCAAAACTTAAGCACCAGGATCATGGCGCCAAGCATCGTAGCGAACCGAGCAAGCGCATGAGCCACCTGAGGCGTGAAAAATAGTGCGTCACGTGTAAGGACATTGACCGTTGCTATCCCCGATGACTTTTGATTGGCTGCGCATTCAATACAACCTGGAACTCTCCAGGTGAGCTTCGGCGCGACTGCTCAGCGCGTTCCACATCCCGACTTCGATAAGATATGTCACCTCACCCCCGTCTCTAACAATTCAACTCGTCACAACAATCACATTCGCCACATCGAATGGGCTCATCTTACCGAAAACACGGCTGCGTGGCCTGAGTTGGGCGGCTGTGCAACAGTTGCTGTTGACTTGGTCGACTGAACCCCACCACGCCGATAGTCATACACACGAAGCGCGGACGGGAAATCCGACAAGATGCCGACCTCTCTTCATCCGCAAGCCAAGTTCGATCCTATTCCACCGGATCTAGATCTGTACAGCTTGGTCGACAGGACCCCCAACTTCAAGTGGGTTCAGCGAGTCTCGAGGTCCCAGATTCGCAACCTTGGGCAACAGGAGTTCGAGAAGCTCGTTCTGATCCACGTCATCGTTGGTGGGAAGCCTTTGGTTATCGATGGATGGGACCAAGTTCTCCCAAAGTGGCTTTTTGATGCCGGCTGGTTCGAGAAGACGTATGACAAGAAGCGTAGGTGCTCCCGCTTTGGCTCCTGACCACTCATGCGCTGACACTATGTTTCCTCAGAGGAAAATGTTCGAGATATCACGGCTGGTAGCGACATTCCCATGACAACTGGACATTATCTACGATCAATGAGACAACTCACGAACCAATGGACACCGAGCAACTTCCGCGACGACCGCCGCCAACGCCTCTACCTCAAGGATATAGACTGCCCTGTTGAATGGCACGATGCGCTACAGAAAGTCATCCACCCGAATCTTTTCTACCTGAACGAGAATTCAAGCGAAGCCGGAGGAGTGCGACAGCAAACAGATGACGACGTCTTTCGCGATGACGCAGCCGCAGCTTCTGCTGGCGATCTGATGTCCAGCTTGCCCGAGGAGATGCGCGCTCAGAATCTTATGTGTTATGTCGGTCATGAAGGCACCTATACCCCGGCGCATCGTGAAATGTGTGCCTCCCTAGGCCAAAACATCATGGTGGAAGCGTCAGGCGATGAGGGGGGTGAGAAACCCGGCAGCTCCATTTGGTTCATGACCGAAAGCAAGGATCGCGAGGTTGTTCGCGAGTACTTTCTCTCCATGCTGGGACATGACATCGAGATCGAGAAGCACTTTGCTCAGATCAATGCGTGGAAGAAGGCCCCCTTTGACGTCTACGTTGTCGAGCAGAGAGTTGGAGACTTTATCCTCATCCCACCCCTGGCCGCACACCAAGTTTGGAACCGAGGTACAAGAACGATGAAGGTCGCTTGGAATCGAACAACAGCCGAAACCCTCGAGCTTGCTCTGCACGAAGCACTGCCCAAGGCACGACTGGTCTGCCGCGATGAGCAGTACAAGAACAAGGCCATGATTTACTTTACTCTAGAGAAATACTACCGCCAACTTCAGCATCTGGACGAGAACGCAGAGATGACCCAGATGAGCTTCATGGGACTTGGTCAGGATATTGTCCGAAACTCGCCTCGAGCAAAGCAGCTCGCCGGCGACTTCAAGAAGCTCTTTGGTCTTTTTACCGAAATCCTTTTGGACGAAATGTTTGCATTCAAGGAAAAGGAAGTAGAGCTTATTGAGTTCGACTCCTGCATCACCTGCTCTTATTGCCGATCTAACATCTTCAACCGATTTTTGACATGCAAGCACTGCACTCGCATGCTGATCAATGGCGATGAAGATGCATATGATGTCTGCATGGAATGTTACGCTATGGGACGATCATGCGCATGTCTCTCTGGCCTGCAATGGTGCGAGCAATGGTCCTGGTCCGATCTTGCCGATAATTACGAAACCTGGCGATCCATGGTCATCAAGAATGATGGCTATGTCGACTTTGAGTTTTCTCCACAGCCCCTTGAGATCGCGCGGCAGCGAGCTGGCAAAAAAGCCGTAGCACAAATATGCCAGGAGGCTCTTCGACGACGGCCCTGGAAGGATATCACCAAGCCAGAGCGCGAAAACACCCCGAGCGAGTCAGAACCGGAAGGCGAAGACAAGCCCAAGAAGAAGTACAAGCGAAAGAAGAAGAAGGGTGAGCTTCGGAGGTGCCATGTATGTTGTCACAAGGATTACGCCTACCGAGTGCACCAGTGTACAAACCCAGGGTGCACTGAAGCATATTGCTACGGCGTTCTCTATCGAGCCTTTGATATGATGCCTCAGAAAGTGCTCGAAGATGAACAATGGCAATGCCCCAAGTGTCTCGGCATCTGCAACTGCGGCGCTTGTCGACGAGGAGGAAACACGGATCCTTACACGCCAAAGAACACCCTACTGGGGCATGATACCCGCCCCATCGCCGATGATCGGAGTGTGGAGGCGCTTGTGGACTTCCGAGTACACAATCTATCATGGCTCAAGGCGGCAGGAGAAGAGAGCCGCAGCAAGGACAGCAATCGGATGAAGAGGTTGAGAGAGCAGGCAGATAATGCCAAGGCACAAGACATCACCGACCAGGCCATGCAGGATGATACTACAGGCCTTGATACATCCGGCATGAACGGATACGGGGATCAAAGTCATGTTCTAAGTCAGGGCGACCACACCATGGTGGATGCACCTGGCGAGGAGGAGTTCCCTCCTTTCCCTGACGGAGCTGCTGGCCCAGCTAACGAGCCTATGGTCACGATGGATATGCCACAGGAAGAAGATCCGGATACATCACTTTATCCCGATCCTTCTGTGGTGGCTCGGCAACGCATCGGCATGGGATACTACGAACAGGATGACACGCCAGACAAGATTCTCTTTGACCCTTTTCAGGCGCCTTCTGAAGAGGCCATGCGACCTTCTGAGCCGGACATCCCCGAATTTGTCAAGAAGTCCATTCGCGCCGCCAAGAGGAAGGCCAAACGAGAGAATGAGGATCCAGATTTTGTGGTTGGCAAAAGTCATCACAAGAAGCTTCGACCTGTGGCTGAGGCGGATCCTCTGGACAACATGGATCCTGCATTGTTCGGTGGACCAACTGCCCCTGAGGCGGTCATGCATGAACCAGGTCAAACTGACCAGAGCCAAACCGAACCACAGAGCGAAGGAACTGCAGAACCAGGCCAAGAAGATCAGTCCGAGCCACCACCTAGGAGGATGACGATGCCTCGGTTCGACGCCAATGAGCCTTTACTTCGGCACGCCAAGCCCATAGCGTCCTACGTGGAGGAGGAAGTCGACTCTGACGAGTATGAAGAAGACCACAGCCACCAACCCAAGGCTCGATCACCTAAGGGAGCATCGACGAATGGGAAGACTGCCGCGGACCTAGCTGCTGATGCAGTTCGTGCTCTTTTCGGGACGCCCGCCACTAATAATGATAAGCCTGCTCCTTCGATCGAGATGGACGAAGCGGAGAGTTCCACCATGTCTCCCTCTGAGGTCAAGGTCCCAAAGAGACGTGGTCGTCCTCCTAAGAATGCTTCCCCTCACCAGGACTCGTCACCACAAGCAACACCAACTTCTTCGGCGAAGAGACCAAGAGGTAGACCAAGGGGTTGGCCTAAAGGTCGGCCTAGGAAATCGCATCTATCTCAGGTCACTGCTGCGGACGAGTCAGGCGAAATCGCTGAAGACGCTGCCCAGGAATCCGTGCAGGAAACTATGGACGTCGAGGCCAACAGCGATGAGGAGCATGAGAGGATGATCGGTGAGCTGGCCACCGACACCCCAGAGGTCGTGCCAGAGGTCGTGCCAGAACCTACCCAGCCGCGACGACGAGGAAGACCTAGGAAGTCGGGTGTGACAACTATTGCTGCTGCATCAGCGACTGTTGAGCCATCTGACGATGGTCATGACGAGTATACACCAAGCAAGGGTGAAGATCGTGCCTCGAGAAGTGCCCGCCGATCACGACGTTCCGAGGTTGCTGAGCCAGAGCCAGAGCCAGAGCCGACAACTACCGCTCCTAATTCGAGCGGTACGCAATTCTTATCCATGGCCGAGCGCATGGCGCTCAAGGGGAAGAAGTTCAAGATTGGTAAACGCAAGGGTCGCCCAAGTTCTGGCGGTACAACTGCTTCCCCGTCTGTTTCCGCAACCCCTGGCACACGCTCTAAGGCCACGCCGGACGTTGTGGATGAGGTGATGGAAGACGTGGTGGACGAGGTAGTAGACGAGGTGGTGGACGAGCCGGAGCAGGCACAGCAGTCGACAGCGGAATCTGCCCACTTCGATGCCGGCTCTGAGGATGATTACGGGGGAGGAGCATCGCCTTCCGTGGCATCTTCAGTCCATGATAGTCCACGCAGTCCCTCGCCACCGCTCTCACTAAAGCCACCTAGCCAACCGACCGTTGTCAGAATTGGTGAATCGGACTCAGAGGAGGAACAAAGTCTGAGGAGCAGCTCGGACTTCGGTTCAGAGAGCGATGGTGATATCCCAGCTAGAGGCCGGGGTTCTGGTCGTGGGGGTCGTGGGCGCGGACGTGGTCGTGGTCGAGGTAGGGGAAGAGGACGAGGTAGGGGAAGAGGACGAGGCAGGGGGCGAGGGTTTTAGATGGCCCATATGAGCCTCGTTTGCTGGGCTAGGATGATGCATTGCCATGTTGGTTGCTTTTTGGCTTGGTGAGCGACATTGATACCTTTGGGACTTTATCTTGCTTCGGACACTGTAGATTATACCCTGTGATTCTAGGCTTTTCGCAGATGAGTGTCATACAACTCAATTCTATCGCCGGCTTCTGCCCGGCGTAATGTTTCTAATGTTTCCCGGTGTTATTAGGCTATTTGAGATTCCAGATATTGTCCTACGAGAGACCAAGCTGCTTCTCCAGATCCGCCCATCTTCCGTTTCGCATGGGGTCTAGTTCTCTGAGCTTTGCTAACCAAGTCGCTACGTCTTTTTTATATTCTGATTCCGGTGCCTGGCCGGTTAGTTGATTCAGGGCGACTGCGTACTCAATCAATGCCTCGTAGATCCACTTGATATCGTCGTAGTCTTCTAGTAGATCCTTGATGTCGGTAACTTCACGGTCGATGTACGATTTGCGCTGGTCCACCGTCAGGCTTGGAGCTATCTGACGACTTCCGGCGGGGTCGGCTAGGTTCAATACTAGGAATTGGTGGTAGTACCAGAGGGATTGGTCCTCGGGTCCTACATTGAGCGCATCGCGAACAAGGTCGAGCTCTGGAGTTACATGAGTATATGAATTAGAAGAGGATTCAGGGTAACATACCTTTGTCCAAGAACTCTTTGCGAGTTTCATCGTCTGCTTTGCGCTCATCGAGGAGTCTCGCGATGATCTGGCTGCGGTTATGCCACGCCGAAAAGTTGGAGAGATCCTCGTGTATCTTTTTGGTCGTGTACTCAAACTCGGGCTCAGCCAGACTTTTTCCGTTCAGGACGGAGCTCTCGAGTTGCGCAACAACATGGCGACGGTAGCCCCAGGCGTGAAAGTTGCGTCGGTCCTTGGTCAGCATCTTACTGACGAGGCCGAGCTCCTCCTCCCAGATGCGCCGAGCCACAGCCTTGTCGAACCTCTCTGTTGCCTGGTCTAGAATCCACAGCCTGTAGTTCCATATCCAGTAGCACTTTGGAAACTCCATGAGCAGGGGCACGGTGAAGCCCAGCTCGGCGCGCACAGTCTCTGCATCCTTGGCGGCGTCGTCAGGTGTTGTACCACTCCTCCCAGCTGTCCGGGGGCTGGGGGGTTGCGGGGTCTCTGTCGAGGACGAGGGCAACGAATCGGCGGAAGAGGCTGAACGAGTGTCGGTCGCTAAAGAACTCTGCGACGCCCTCGAGGGCGACGATCCAGCCGAGGGTCTGGACAATAAGCCAGAGATTAGGCAGCGCCTGCGGGCGTTCCATATCGTGTAGTACTCTGGGTTGAGGCGGAGGAGCTTCGAGGTGAGCTGGAACGTCTCGGGGCCGTAGTTGCCGTCGGCGATCTGCTTCGAGTGTAAGAATTGGTTGGGGATGATGACCATGGGTTGAGCTAACCTGCTGGCGGATTTGATCCTCGAGAGCTCGGTACTTTTGGATCTTTTCTTGATCCTGCTGACGCTGCTCTTCGGTTCGGGTCCGCGCGGTGCGGGCTACGCCGTGCTGGAAGCCTTTGGTATCAGCATCAGTCAAGGACTCTTTTGTTTGAGAGGCATGTGACTAACGCTGGACATTCTGCGAGACGCCAGAAAGGATCTGGGTTTTGCAGCGATTTGTGTGTTGCGACAGTTCGAGGCTTGTGCTTGGAAATGCTGTTGCTGTTGGAGCTGTGAGACGTTGACGTAACCAAAGTCAAGTCCTCGTGGTTGTGTAGGGTAGCGTGATGGCTTTTTATTGGAGCAACACCATGGCTATTTCTTGTGATACTCATAGCATCTCCGCAGAAAAGGGTTTCATTTCATGGAATTCATGATACATTTAATCTCTATAGCGTTTATGACATTATTTAATTTTAATCTGTATCTACTCTAATGCTCTGAAAAAGCTTCTATGCTGTATGAAAGTCAACTTTAGCTTTTCTATCCCTTACGACCATCCTTTCATCCCGTCAACCTACTGAATTTTCCGTCTCCATTCCTACGCCTGGACGATTTTTTCATTTGAACCAATAGTAATATCAAGGTTATACTCTTATTGGTGACATATTCCAATGCGCTGGGTAAGTTAACAACTACTTACACTGTCCCCGGTGTGACTCCAAGCATGAATTTACCCAACAACCAGACAACGCTCGTACTCGATAGCCTCGAAATTTCAGTTCTGGATGTCCCGAAACATTCACCTTGAGCACCCGCTCCGGCACCCGGCGCATGATCTACGAGATTGACGACAATCTCATCCTCCCCATGGTGCTCGAAGCCCATGGCACACGACACCAAGGGGATGATCGATATCGGCTCACTCCCGATTATACTCCTTTGTTTCAAAACTGCCCCTCCCCTCTTCGGCCCGTGGGATGGATCAGGCACACCCGCAAGCTCGGACTCACATGTCATGACATGACTCCTTCGCGCGAAACTCGTACCTGAGTGGCGAACCCCCTTTCGCCATGTTGCGGCGACTTGACAGCGGAGGTTATCCCTGTGTAAATCCGCGAAGCTTTTGATCCTCGAGGCTCGGAAACATGCAGGTACGGCACAGTCATGTTTCAAGCGAACACTCTGTTGGCGCACGTGGAGTTCATGTCTGCCAGATCATCGATTCTCAAGGTCAGACTTCGATGCAGAGACCGCAATTTCAGCAGCCCTATGAACCATGGCCAGCCTGAAGATCAAACGTACAGGAAGGTTAGAGTCCGGAGTTTTGTTCGCCAAGTGGTTGGACATCAACTCTTCTCTTGCGTCGATGCAACATGTGCAGGGCATAGTGTCCCTCCCGGCATCATCAAACCCCTGAGAAATCGACCTACATAATGTTCGATTCTTCTGATCGCACTATTTGATCATGGAGAAGCCATGTTGCGGCATCATGCCTTCGCTTTTCCCTTCGCGTCCTTGACTGTGGTTGGTCGACTTACAAAACCTCTGCGATCCTACCAGACGGCGGGATGCCTCCTATACCCCCCCAAACTATGCCTATAAAGTTCAGATGAACAGGGGCTAGAACCACTTTATGGAGGTTCTGAAGGATCTGTGATGATCCTCGACGCTTACTTGCTCGCAATGAACAGACCAGGTCCGGGATAGTAGCGCCCGGGCCAAGAACCTCGTGCCACTATCACGCCTCTCGACCTCTCCAAGCCCGGCGGCTTCGCCTGTTGGTCCTTTTGCCTCCCAAATAACCGGGAGGGAAGGTCGATTAACAGCCTCAGCCTCAGCCTGGTCCATTTTGTCTCCCCATCTGTGTTTCAATTAGACTTGGCTCAGAGAACCAGACGAATGGGAGCTGTAGGCTGGGTATCCTGATCGTGGCTACTGCCTTGTCAGTCCACGAGGCCATGAAACGGAAAGCATTGAGAGGGCATCGACCTCCCCGATATGGACTTGGGGTTGTTTCCATATGCTAGCCGTCGACGAGATGAGCCAGGATAGGGAGAACCGCGCGCAACGTTGCAGACCCTGATCGTCCCAAGGTCGAGCTAAGCCTTGCTCAAAGCACCGACATCAGCTGGCTCTGGCCTTGCCTTGCGGGTTGATCCCAAGGATGCCCACGATGGGGTTCAAGCATCAAGCCAACATGATACACTCGCTGTTCGGAGGTGGCACGACAAGGCTGACTCCTGAATAGCTCTACGCGCCACACGTAAGCTGATCCAACATGGAGATGTCTATTCGTGCCTCCTACAACTCTCTGAATTATATAAAGCATGCTTATGTTCTCGCTTTGATAAAGATGCCCACCAAGCACACCCACTTTCTTCTCTAGCCATTCTTTTCTGTTGCGGCCTGGCGCTTGCACATCACATTCCTTCACTACTTCATCCATTCTTTTCGTTCTTTTCTATACATTCCTTCTTTGAACCATGTCGACCATGTTCACTCTTTTGTTCAGATCGCTAGCGATCATTGCTGTGCTTCAAGCCACTCTGGGTTTCGCGAGACCCATTGCCACTTCATCCCGTGCCACTGCTGTTTCCAATGGCTATGCTAACTCCGTCTACTTCGTGAACTGGTTCGTCGGATTCTCTAGAAGCAAATTCACCTCTTTCTAACTCTTCTCAGGGGCATCTACCAGCGAAACTTCCAGCCCAAGGACCTACAGGCTTCTCAGATCTCCCATGTGCTCTACTCCTTTATGAACGTCAAGGCCGACGGAACTGTGTAAGTCAAAATGAGTCTATGCTATAAATTTCGATACTAATTTGACCCTCAGTTACACCGGAGACAGCTACGCCGACCTTGAGAAGCATTACGAGGGTGACTGTGAGTTGTCCCCCATCTCTTTGTGTCCCTACAACTGACTTTTGGATGCAGCCTGGAACGATCAGGGTACCAATGCCTATGGATGTATTAAGCAACTCTACCTCTTGAAGAAGGCCAACCGCCAGCTCAAGGTCATGCTCTCTATTGGTGGTTGGTCCTGGTCTACCAACTTCCCTGCTGCCGCCAGCACCCCTGAGGGCCGTACTACGTTCGCCAAGTCCGCCGTGACTCTGATGAAGGACTGGGGCTTTGACGGTATCGATGTCGACTGGGAGTACCCCAAGGACGAGACGGAATCTGCCAACTTTGATCTCCTTCTCCAGGCCGTCCGTGACGAGCTCGACTCTTATGCTCAGCAGCACGCCTCCGGTCACCACTTCCAGCTGTCTATCGCTGCCCCTGCTGGCGCCACCAACTACGAGAAGCTTCACCTCAACAAGATTGGCCAAGTCGTCGACCACGTTAACCTGATGGCCTACGACTACGCTGGCTCTTGGGACACCACCAGCGGTCACAGTGCCAATCTGTACGCCAACTCTGCGATCGCCAAGGCCACTCCCTTCAACACCGATGATGCTGTCAAGGCTTACATCAACGGTGGTGTCCCCGCAGAGAAGCTCGTACTCGGCATGCCTATCTATGGCCGCTCGTTCGAGAGCACCACTGGAATCGGCGAGACTTACACCGGAATTGGCCAGGGCAGCTGGGAGCAGGGTGTCTGGGACTACAAGGTGCTTCCCAAGTCTGGAGCCGAGCTCAAGTACGACGAGACTGCCCAGGCCGCTTACAGCTACGACGCCAACACGCAGGAGCTCATCACCTTTGATACGCCTCAGGTTGTCCAGAACAAGGTGTCTTACCTGCAGAAGCTCGGTCTCGGCGGCAGCATGTTCTGGGAGGCTTCCGGCGACAAGACGGGTGACGACTCGCTCATCGGCACCAGCTTCAAATCTCTGGGATCTCTGGACACGACGGAGAACTGGCTCCAATACCCAGACTCCCAGTACGCCAACATTGCTTCTGGGTGCCAGAGCTAGAAAAATCTGCTTTAAGCTTTCTTCAAATGTATATAGTTCTTGTTTTTTTGCATGCGTGCTCTGGGCCATCTGTTGATGAGATTTATGGACTTTCGAGTCGGGTTTCAGGAAAACTCAGAGTGTGAGCTCATGTTGATGTTCAACGAGTTATGGCTCATGTACATATATCATCCACGTTTATAGATGTTCATACCTCCGACTTCATCCTTTAATTGCCGGTGATTTGTTGTGGTTATATGGAATATTCTGTGTTCCTGGCTATGAAGAGAGTGCATTTGTGGGTGTTTGAAGATCATCGGAGGCAGGCATAAAAGAGTATCGCACCTTCCTTCTCGCTTTAAAGCTATTAATAAGTTGCGAGGCATGGACTCACGTGTCATCCAAGCTGCCGAGTGTGACTCCTTCCCCTTACAACATCGCCGTCCTCCTATAACACATTCTCCCTACAAGACTCGCCGACAAGCATCCATACTCCCCATCATAGACCAAGGTAGGAAGCTCGCTGCCTGTAAAGGTGCTCGCTGTTGTATCATCATTCGCCAAGGTAACTACATATCAGTACATTCGTTCTTTTATTCTCTTTACAACAAAGACGTTAATCCTCCGACTGCAAGTTCTGTGACGCCTTGGAGGGAGCATCTCTCCACGGGGCTTCGACCATCAGCAGCTTCCAACACATGATTTCCAACAGCATGATGCTACGGCTACCTCGTCGTCCAAGGGCATATGGACAAACTTTCGACTCACCACCCAAGCCACACAGCCCTGCAGACTCGGGTTACGCTTCGAGAGAGAACTCCCCCGGGACTTCGATACCTCGCAAATCGACATGCTTCTTGAACTTTGATGGGTCTGGCTCCTGGGAAGCTGTAGCAGACTCAGGACTTGAAGATGGGGAGCCCAGAACACCCGTATCGAAGCAGCGGCAGAGTTACTTTCCTTCCCCCAAGACACCGCAGCGAGCCCGTCCAGGCGAAAATCTCGACGGTGTTTCCCCATTCATCTACGCGAAGGATGCCAACTCTCTGCCCCTTCAAGACAAACGATTCGATCCGAACCGACGGAAACTAGACAGATACGTCCCGAAGCGCGACCATACATCCCCTGTCGCTGAAAGATATCGGACCAAGAAGGAGAGCCAAGATCTCTCAACCGAAGAGAGGCTGACAAGAAACAAACAAGCATCCACAGATCCCTTTGCTCTTCGGCGTAGAGCCTTGACTCCTGACCAACGGTTTCCTTTTCGAGTTGATGAGAGTGTTGTCAATCGAGGTTTGTCAGAAGTGGACTTGGCAAAATGCCCCTGGCTGATATATGATGTCCAGGTACAGCTCTGAGTCAACTCCCGCAAAACCGAGGAGGAGAAAGACAAGTCAGCGTGGGCGCCATCTAGTCAGTTGGTGGCCTCGTACCCAGCGCAATCGCCATTGACGACGGGCAAGGACATCTCCTTCAACGTGGAACAAACGCTCGCATATTTCCAACCCCCTTCCAAGAAAGCTTGGTAAACACATCGGTCGAAAAAGAGAAGCATGAGGGCCGCGTCGCTTCTGCCTTGGACCTTGACCGTATTCGCAAAGTGCTCGACTTCTGCCAGAGCCGGCCAATACCACCAAGTCCAACCGTGGGTCGAGTACTGGATCTGGAAGAAGGCCGAACTGTTTGGGATGGGTGCAAATGGTCAAATAAGGAGCAATTCACTAGTATGTCGTGTGTTGGCCATGATGAGCAGATGTAACTGACCAGAGCAGTTCCTCCGAGGCCAGCGAAGAAACGTCTTCTCCCTGCTGCTCCATTCAGGTCAGTAGATCGATCATCTAATCCTCCATCCTCAACAACGATCTGACAGAACTACAGGGTCCTCGACGCGCCAAATCTCAAGGACGACTTCTACTGCTCTCCGTTAGCATACTCACCTACATCACACACTCTCGTGGTCTGCCTGAGCAACTTGCTTTACGCCTGGTCCGAGGCTGGGGGTGTACACATGATTCATGGGGCTCAAGCTAGCATTTGGTTAAGCTCAGTGTCATTCTCGTCTGCCCAAGGAACCAAGGCCGTTCTTGGAATCGGTCACTCGGATGGCTCTGTGGTTCTGAAGTCCCTATTTGACGGATTGCCCCGTTTCGAGGTCCGGCAACCATTTCCTATTTCCTGTGTGAGCTGGCGTCCGATTTGCACACTGCGGCCATCCAAGAATCCTCTTAATCCAGGGGTCCCCGTTCAAACTGAGGATCTTGTCGTTGGCGACGAGGTGGGCAACATCTACTATTACGTAGTAGAATGGCCAATGAACTGGGAAGTTTCCAGAGATACCTGGCCAGGAGCAGTTACTCTCATGGCCAAGATCAGTAACATTCATTGCCAGCAAATATGCGGCCTCGCATGGTCGTCGGACGGGCGGCTCTTTGCCACTGGAGGGAACGACAACCTCTGCTGCCTTTTTGAGGTGGACCATGTTCTTGGGCAGCGTCGAACGGAATCTGCTCGGTCAGAAAATGGATATCAAGGGAGATTTGAGGCCCTCAGCCCCTACGGCGGTATTGAGACAAGAGTAACACGGCCATTTTATTCCCCGCAAGACGTTTCAGGGACGGAAGATGCATCTGAACCACAAATTGCGGCTGAGATGCGACCACTTCCAAACTCGAGCGACACAGTTCGGTATCTTGGGCCTGGGGCTGAGAGACACCATTGGGACCATGATGCTGCCGTCAAAGCCATTGCTTTCTGCCCCTGGAGGCGCGGTTTGGTCGCCACAAGTGGTGGCTCCAATAACAAATGCATCCACTTCTACCATACGACATCAGGGGCGGCTCTGGCAACCATTGCCGTGTCAGCTCAAGTGACCTCGCTAATCTGGAGCACAACTCGACGAGAGATTGTAGCCACGTTTGGTTATGCCCAGCCAGATCATCCTTACCGGATCAGCGTCTTCAGCTGGCCAGAGTGCAAGCAGGTGGCAGCGATACCTTGGGAGGGCGAGTTGAGAGCTCTCTATGCCGTCCCGTATCCTCGGGGTCCTGCACCTAACAGTGATGTACAACGAGATGGGGGGTTTCAAGAGGGAAGCATTATCGTTGCATCAAGTGACAAGAGCATTAAGTTTCACGAAGTGTGGTCGAGCGAAAAAGGGGCAACAGTGGGCGGCAGTGGCATGCTTGGCGGAAGTGACATACTTGAGGGGCTGGAAGGGATCGACAAGGAAGGGGACGTGATCCGATGAGCCGTTGCTGTCTGTTTCTGGGCCTCGAAGGAGGAACCGTCTAGACTGCTAGCTATGTCGAGGATTAAACAGCTTTGAAATTGAGAGAATGGTACCACACCATGATGACAATCCCAGCCTAATGCCGAATTTCACCAAGTTGTGGTGAGAATAGGTTCCGCGGACATATATACAGGTCATCTTTCACGGAGCCTTTGTCTGTCTACTCGTTGCCCAGCCGAATTCTTGATAGACAAAAAACGACGATATCATATACCTGGGAACGACGCCCCAAGCCTGAATAACTCCCAAAACGCCAACCGATGCGCGACGCCCGCTGTCTCTTCAGAGAAGGATGAAGAAAAAAAAGAAACTATTTCAAGATGGCAATGAGGAGCACAAGGATAATGATGAGAACCACAATGGTTGTCATCTGCTTATTCTCGCTCGCCCCGCGAGCCACCTTGCCGAGGGTCCGGCTCGCGCGATCCAGGCGGCTCTGGTGTCTGTCCGTGACGCCTTCGACCTCATCGAGCATAGCAACGTGGCTGTCAAGCTCATCCCCAATCTGCATGCTGAGCTCTCGCTGGCGACCAATAGACTCGCCAAGACGGTCGAGCTGCTCATCCTGCTGCTCGAGAATCTGGTTGTGATACTCGTGGATCTGCTGATTGTTCATCTCCGCCGCCTGGTCTTGGTAACCGGCCGAGTCGGACGGGTCATCGCGGTAAGGACCAAAGAGCTCGGCGGAGGGGGAGGAGGGTGTATCGGTGAAGCGGACCGTCTTGGCCTTGCGCGAGTTGGGCGACGTCGAGGCCGCGTGGGCAAAGTCGTCGGCGAGCTCCTCCGAGTTGGGGTGCGAGACGGTCGCGGCGGCTGAAGCCGAGGGTTGGCCTTGGAACTGGGTCGTGAGGTCGTCGAACTGCTTCTGAAGTGTTGAGATGGACTCGGAGAGGTCTGAAGCGCCGCTGTTGCAAAAAGGTGTCAGTCCATCTTTAAAAGTCATACGCAAGAGGCTTGAGAAACGTACGTCGCATCGCCGGCTTCGCTCAGACGCTGCTCCTCCTCGCGGAGAGCAGCCAGTCCGTCGCGGAACTGATCAAGAGAGCGGGAAATATGTCCATCCTGGGAGTCGCCTTCAAGGTTGAGACTCTTTGCGCGCTGCCTCTCGAGCAGCGAGAGCTTGACGTGGTCCGCGAGGAGAAAGAGCTGATTTGCGCTCGACATGGTTGGAGAGAGAGATGGATCTGATTGGGATGGGTCCCCCTTCTACCGCAGCCGGCAAAGATGCGGGTTTGTCTTGTCTGGTGGGTGAGGAAAGCGAGTGGACTTGTTGTGTGTTTGGCAATGGAATGTATTGAAATCTTGATGGGATGTTGTGAGGAGTACTTCGGTAGAGTAAAGTAGACTCTGTAACTCGGCCGTCGATACGTAACTGAATGACGCCGGCCAAAGGTTCGTTCGTCGTCGGTGTAGATATTGGGCCAGGTATTCCTGCTACCTAGACGATAGGCCTTCCCAGCCAAGGTACTAGAAACCAAGGCCTGAAAAGGGGCTAAGCGATGTACCTTAGGCGTCGCCACCTATCTGCTACTCTGAGGAGGGACATTGCCAGTGAGGAGGTTGGGGGCATGCTTTTTCCCCTGAACCTTTTCCGGATAGGCTTCCAATCGACAAGAGGCAGCAGTTTAAAGGAGCGTTGCATTGTTGCATGTATAAATCTATTCAAAGTCTATGCTCAATTGCATTTGTACAATATTACATCTTGAACATCTTGTCGCTCACAACTTACCAGTGCCATTGTGCTAAACCGCAGACCAGGACCGTAGCATCCATTCTCCGCACAAAGCCAGTGGCCGGCCCAAGGTCCCCTTGCATTCAATACAAGAGCCAACTATTTGTTGACCAGGAACATTAAACCCGGCCCCGGATAATAAGAGAAAGAGACAAGACAATCAAAGAGACACGGGTGACAGATCAGTCCTCCGAGTCCGAACTGGGCTTGATTGCCCGCCCTGGCAACAGTCCAGTCCGACGACCCACGCCATTGAGGCCCAACCAATTATTCGTCACAGAATATTCTTTCTCTCAGAAATCCTGCCGCTTGCTCTGGTCCCATCAGCCAAATTGGCTCCAGTCCAGACTCCAGACTCTAGGCTAATTCGTCTCGGCCATCTTCCTGTACCTATGCCTGTGCCTGTGCCTGTGCCTGGCTCATCACCTTCCATTATCGGGCCATGTTGCTTCCGATGACGCCGCTAAATGGCTGCCACTGTCGCGTTGAGGCCGCGAATCCCACGCCAATGATCAACGCGTCGAGTGGGGGTTACTCAGCGCGGCTTAATGAATACGAGAGACAGGCTTTTCGCCAACATTATCAATCACATAGGTAGACAGCACAGCGTTGCAGACACTTTCGGAATAATTCATTGTTTCAAATTGTAATGATATAAATCGCATTCAATGATACAGAGCCATGACGATCCTTGTCTATGGCTGTCGCTCCCGGTAGCCTTTTCGACCTCGTCGATACCAAGGCACCTTTCCCATTCCTAACCCAGTCCCAAGCATGGCAAACCCACGTAACTCCGAGTAGATTGCAGAGAAAAAGAAATAAAAATTATCGCAAAAATGGAAAGGTTCCCGGGCGAGGTGGCCCTAGTCCATTTTCATGTCCATGTCAGGCTCAGGGCTGGCGCTGACTGGCCGAGGAGATTCAGCTGCTGAAAGAGTCTCCATCCCGTCGAATCGAGGTGGCGAGCACTGAAGATTTTGGAGGGCGCCCTCAGCAGTTTGGCTGACGAGTTGACCCTGGCGGAGGTTTTCGGCAAAGAGGAAGAAGCCTTCATTGGCCTCCACGAGATAGGACTGGAGGCCGTTGCTCTCAAGGAGAATGCGAGCGTTGGAGATGGGGAAGTGGTTCTCAATGAAACGCGCCCAGCCACGAGCAGCTGCTTGGATGTGCTCGTCTTCGCTGATCCTGCGCCAGCCGATGCCAAGGTGTAGTGTGAAGTTGTCGATGGTGGGTCCCTCATTGGATGGAGTCTTGAGGTCGGTCTTGCTGGGGGACTTGGCGATGGCTGTAGGACCGGCTGGCTGGGCACGGGAGACGCGCTGCAACTTGGGGTTTCTGATCAGAGAGCGAGCCTCCTTGACGGCAGCATCTTGGGCAGCCTTCTTCTCCTCGACCCAGGTACCAGACTGAGTGCCCGCGTCTGTGACGTAGCGGGAGCTAGGCTTGATGAGGGTCATGCCGGGGCCGTAGACCCATTCCTCCTCAGGCTCTTCGACTGGCAGGGACTTGACATCAGGCTCAAGGTTTTCGGAAGCCTCTTCCCGGGAACGCTTCTTGCCGGATCCAGCAGATCGGACTGGCTGATATGCCGCAAATTGGCTGGGCATTGGGGCAAATCGAGGTGGAGTGTGGTGATGGTGTCCAAAGCTTGCCATGCCCAGGGACTGGTGGGCAGGTTGAGGAGACATGGTAAGGACGGGAGAGGAAGAGAATTGGGGACTGAAGTACGCCATTTTTGAAAGCGTTCTGGTAGTAGAAAAACTGAGAGGTTGAAAGGTTAGTAGTCACTGCTGTCACAAACCATCTATTGCGTATTCAAGACACGCTGTTGGTGATGGACTCCCGCGGCGCTGGAGCTGGAGCTCTAGGACGAGGATTGCAATTGAGTTTGAGAAGGTCGTTTGAGATGAAGAACCCGATAGGAGACGAGACGGGATGAAGGGAGTGAAGATGTGGAAGGGTTGGCCAACAAGAGGCACAAGAAGAGGGAGAGTACGCGACGAGTGAGGCGACAAGGATGGTAGCGAAGGGTCGTGATGGAGGTTTGACCAAGAGGCAAGGACGAAGAGAACTTGGAGGATGACCTGAGGTGGGTGGAGGTCAGACTGGATGAAGATGGAGGAGGAAGAAAAGTTGGATGGGAGAGGGAGGAATAAGAAGTGCGAGAAGGATGCGAGGGGAGGACGGTAAAAGAACCTCTGAGAGTGAGAGCAAGAGGAAGGGGCGTGAGTGGCTCTTGGGTTCCAGCTGCAGGAGATCGGAGTGAGGCTGCATGGGTGTTAAAGAGCAACCTGGGGTAAAAAAGAGTTGGCACTGTAGAGCGGTTTCGCGAACGGCGAAGTCCGCGTAGCGGTACCTTCGGCAGATATCCGCGCCGCAATTTCTCAGGCAACTCACTAACAGAGAATAGGGGAAGACTCGGGTCGCCGCAGCTGACTCCGTGCGGCCCGTCAGCGCACAGTATGCACGCCATCAGCTTATCGGCGCGCTGGTTCCAAACCTGCCGGCCCTAAAAGAGGTCTAGCACGGAACTAAGGCAGTTTGCAGCGCGAGGTACGTACCTCTCAATGGAAAGCTCCAATCCGCGCTTGTCCCCTTACGGGTTGCGTAATTGTTAAGGGTCTCAGACCTACCATGTCTGTAAGGGGCATAGCGCCAGAAGCAAGGCGTGAGGAGGCTCGTGGATGCTCCGAACGCCCGTCTGGTTGGATGGTCAACGCCCTGGCCACGCTGGGCTTGGCTTTTTGAGTTGCCCCGTGCCACACCCATCACGCCTAGCCCACCACGCCGAGCCCACGCCCGCCAAACCGAGCCGAGAACCCAGTTGAAGTGTAAGTGGAAGTGGGAGGTCAGGTCCGCCGTCGGCCATCCACCAATCCAGGAAGCGTCCCATCCAGGTCCACACGAATCCGCCCAGCCCGAGTCAGTTTGCTCTGATTGCTTCTCTTGCCGAAGCTCATTGGAAGTTTGTATTTCCGCAGCCGACTCAGACGGGTACGTACTGCTCCGCTACGCTGCCAAGCACATCCCGTCTCGTCTCCCCTCAAGTCGCATCACCTCATCCGATCAGTCAGCCAGCCAACAGCCAACCCTCCAACTTGGCTCCCTTGGACTGGAATTTTTCTTGCCGCGGGACGCAGGTTCCCGCTTCTTCTCCGGAGCGCCAACAGCAGATTATCCGAGATGGGGAATGGCGCTCCTCCGTTTGCCAGCCCAAATTGCCAGAGCAATGTGCTCACCACCTGACTAACACACACAACGATCACCGGGAAACCGGCAATTGAACGGCACGTTTTTAGTAGCGATGCGACTGATGCCATAGGAACAAGTCTGGCCGCAGATGAGAAATTCTACCTTCCCGGTCTCGTCCTGCTCTCTCCCCGCCTAGCATGGTTGACATCCATATTGCTGTTTAATGTGAATTCCAAACCTCTCCCGCCCTAACCACAGATCACAATCACGATCCTTCTTCTGAGCTGCTCTCGACCTAACCAGTTCAGTCATCGTCGGCATTCTCGTTTCCTCCGTAGAGCCCTTGAAACCCAGGGATGCTCAGTCCTGTTGGACTGCCGTTGCGCCTGGCCCGCGCTCTTCTGCCAGCCGCAGATGGAGTTTGCTGTACCTCAACTCTTTGACGTCGCCCTCCTGCTGGCGCCGTGTAAGCGCCGTCAAACCGACTCTGATGGCGGGCTTCTGGTAACTCTCTGGGCGTTTGTGGCTGCTCTCGAGTGGGCAAACGGTCGTTGTACACTGGGAGATGTCTCCTAGGCGTTGTTGCGTCCAACTCCCCTGCAACAAGTGACGTCGTCGCTATGGGGTCTCTCCCAGCGACCACTGGCCTCATTGGGCCTTGATCCTGCTCGCTGTTCCGTTCCTCGTCTGCGTGGTATCGACCGGGGCTGGGCTAGATTTTGATGTCAGTGAGTTCATTATGCCTTCTTTCCCTGCCTAGCGGTGTGCCTATCCCACGCATTGCGGCTGCAGGTGTTGGCTCACAAGACACTCATCCCCATGGAGTAATATCGCGGGGATATCACTCACATGGGCCGTTGGAGGTCTTAGATGCAGTTGCACATTGTCCTGACTGCCAGTGTCCTGCTCAGCCCTGCTGTCATCCGTATCATGAAGACGCCTGTGCGAGGATATGTGTTCTACTTCCAGCGTACTTTCAGTCCCTGTCAACTGTTAGTCTTGTATCATTGTGCTTCGAGTGTGGCCGCTGCTCAGCTTACCAATGGTGGACCTTGGGCGAAGTGTCAACGCGCGCAGCTCTGCGTGTAGCAGTGCAATCGTATCAGAGTCAAATACTGTCATATGCTCCTCGGGTGTGGTGTATGTGATTTCCAATTCACTATCTTCGTCGAGAGATGGCGCTGGCAGCCTGGGCTCATCGTCGTTACGGGTGATGTCGCGTGTAGTCAAGGTTGTCGGTTGGTTCGCCTTTCGTGCCGGGTTTGCCTGACGCGTGTGAGGCTCGCCACTTGGGACAGCATCTTGTATGGGCGAACTGGCCCCGTCCAGCCTCTTCCCAACGCGATAGGAGTGCCTGAGGTGTTTTCTGTATCGACTACGGCGCTCGCTGTCATTTAGCTCACGGGTGGTGATTGTGATTGTTGTGGGATGGAGTCTCAGCATCGTGAACCGAACGACACAACAGTCATGGGCGTCAGCATGGTGGATCAATTGTGCCTTGGACCAAAGCCCATGATTATTATGACCCCATCCGCGACTTCCTAGACCATACGTATGGTTTTCAAGTGCCCTCGGAAGGTCGATTGGCTCTCAAACAGCCGAGCATGACCTGCACGGGTTGAGCCTCGCCGAGGCTGTAGGGTAGTCACGAAGGCAGAAAGAACATCGTACAGGCAGGCAAGAAGTACCGTCGCCCAAGTTAGATACTCAGATAGAAGCCTTATCCACCGAAGCTCGGGTCCTGCGGGCATCTGCACTGCGTATGACTTCATCCTACTCCATTGCGTGGCCTGCAGTCACGAGTGCCTCAAAATACACCCATTTATAGGTGGATGACGCCTGCCGGGGCCGACACGAGAGGCTGCGCCGCGATGACATAGCCTGGCCACGAATGCGAACCTGGGTGTTTGCATTGGTAGTCAGACTGGAGAGAACGCAGGCGGAAGGCTGAATGCGAACTCGAAGGCCAAAATAAGAATTGTTCATCGTTCTGTTGACGTCGTCGTATGACACCTTCCTCTCTGATGATGACTGAAACCGGCTCCCAAAGAGGGAGGCCGAGGTGACTATTGAACGGTCAACTAGATGGCGCTTTTAACTCCCGACGATATATGGACACAGGACAAGGTTTCTGGGACATGAATCGATTAGCCTTGCATAGGAATTCCCGTAGTCTAGATCGCCTCTGGTGAAACTGAAATGGCGCTCAATTGTCTTGTCATCCATCTATTTTCGGTCGCCCATGGATGCATGCCCGTGTTGAGTTTGTCCAGCGATGCCCCTGATGAGACCGGGTGAGACGGGAATGGAAGCCTCAGTGGGTGATTATGGATTATGGCGGCATGGGGCTGGTGCCAGGCCTTGTCCCTGGGTCTGCTGGTCGGGTCGGGTACCTGAGCGAGCGATGGATGGATCAATTATTAGGGACATGTTCTGCCTCCACACACTGCTTGTCACTCACGGACACCACCTCATTAACCTCAACGGTGATTGCGGTTGCTGTTACGGATCTGTCCCTGGTCCTGGCAAGAGTGCAAATTTGGGCCGTGAATCTGGATGAGCTGTCGATACTGCACGTAGACGTAGGAAGCCGAGCTTCATCAGGACAGATATCCATGGGTCCATTTCATTGGATTGGCCGTGCCTCTGCACCAGGTAAGAAAGGTGCAGTAAGGAAGGTACCCTGCGCTGCGTGGGCTGCTGCTGCGGCCACGGTTTACTGCTGCCGGGCGCTCCAGCTGCTGGGCAGTGCCTCGTCGGGTACTTTGCACGCCAAATATCAGGTACCTTGCCCAGCCTGGGGCTCTCCTTTGCATCATCCCAGGCCCCAGGTTCAGGTCTAGGTTGGCAGCGGCCTAAGGCGTCCTCCTCTCTCTGCATTTCTCGTAATCTGGGCTGGACCTCGTACCTGAGCAAGTACTGTCACTCTTTTGAAGTTTCGTTTATGGTTTCTATCGCTAACCAGCCATCCCGCTCTCAGCCAGACCAAGCACCACCGGTGATGCTCCACGGTCCACGCCGCCGCCAGTGGCCGATCGTCCCTCGTCCACGACTCGCGTCTATCCTCCCTGAGCGAGTCGAGTCTGAGCTTGTCCACTTCCCCTGAGCATCTCCCCGGGCTCCTCGATCGCCACCATGAACGGGGACCTGAGCCTCTCTCAGGCCCTGGGCGGACTGCGTATCGCCAACCCCGACGATGCCGCTGAGCTTGCCTCTGCTTCTGCCTCTGCGTCCGCATCTGCTCCCGAGCCTACATCTACTGCTCACATCACCTCCGTCTCCGCCTCCACATCGACGTCTGCCCTCGCATCTACACCTCAACCGACTGATACATCCACCACACCCTCGTCCTACGATGCCATCCATCTCGATCCTATAGATCCCGGCGTCGAATCTCTACTGACCGATCCTCGATTCGCCCCGTCTTCTCAATCCTCCGACGTTACACCAGAACCCAGTCCCGCCGTTGGCCATTCGCAACATTCTTCTCGACCCGAGATATCGAGGACATCCATCTACGGCATGCCAAACATGCCCGACTCAAGACCTGGCCCTTCCTACCCGGTTCGGGAGTCCAGCCAGCGAGACCCCCAACGTTCCTACTCGAATCGACAACCGTCATCTCTGCCCCCCGGTGGCAGTCCACTCCCACCGCGTAGGAGCTCGAGGGGAATGGGAGTCGGATATGCATCTGCTCCTGGAGGGTCTCAATCAAACCAGGGCTATGCTGGGGACGCACCTGTCCCCACTAGCAGAGAGGACTGGCAAGAACGCGGCGCTGCTGTGGGTGTTCGCAGGGAGGTTGATGCTAATGGCCGTACCATTGTTCGCCAAGTTAAGAAGGGCGTTAGGGACTTTCAATTTGGTCGAATCCTTGGTGAAGGCTCATACAGCACGGTTTACATGGCCACCGACCGCCAAACACTCAAAGAGTACGCCGTCAAGGTCCTCGAAAAAAGACACATCATCAAGGAGAAGAAGATCAAGTATGTCAACATTGAGAAAAACACCCTCAATCGGCTTACTGAGCATCCTGGAATTGTACGACTATACTACACCTTCCAGGATGAAACTTCGCTCTACTACGTTCTCGACCTCTGCAATGGGGGAGAGCTACTAGGTGTGCTAAAAAAGACTGGCACGTTCGATGTCGAATGTACCAGATTCTATGGTGCCCAGATTCTCGACGCTATCGACTACATGCACTCTCGAGGCGTCATCCATCGAGATCTGAAGCCCGAAAATGTCCTCCTCGACGACCAGATGCACGTCAAGATCACAGACTTTGGTACGGCCAAGCTGCTCAAAGACCCGCGCGAGGATGCGTCGGCTGTGACCGCCACTGGCGCACCTGACCCAGGTCGAGGAAAAGGAGACGAAGACGACCGCGCAGCATCCTTCGTCGGGACGGCCGAGTACGTGAGCCCGGAGCTCCTCACACACAAGAACGCCTGCAAGGCTAGTGATTTGTGGGCTTTTGGCTGCATCATCTACCAGCTGCTGGCTGGTAGGCCGCCATTCAAAGGAGGTAGTGAATACCTCACCTTCCAGAAGATTGTCAACCTGGAATATGAATTCCCCACCGGTTTCCCCCCGGCCGCACGAGACCTCGTCGAGCGCTGTCTGGTGCTCGACCCAGCTCGAAGACTGACTATAGAACACATCAAGAACCACGAATTCTTTGACGGACAGCCGTTTGGAAAGGGACTGTGGAGGTCCAAGGCTCCACGGCTGCGCCCGTATATACCACCTGCGCAAGAGCCCACCGTAATCCAGCTCAATGGCTTTTCTACGACACCCAAACCCATCTCCAACGCGAGGGCACCTCCTCCACCCCAGACCACCCCCTCGAATGGGAGCAGCCGACCGTCACGGATAATCACTGAGCTACCACCCCCTACACAACTCGATATCGAATGGTCTCCAGTCCTCACCAAGAACAACGAGCGGATTCTCAAATTGGGGGATCTCATGGTGATCTCTACACCCCTATCCTCAAGCCCCCATGGAAAAGAATCTGGGGAGGGACACAAGAAGTTGTCACGATTTTTCATCGGAACCACGACAAAGAAGCGTCAACGCCTGGTCATGATCACATCGAGTGGTCGAATTGTGCTTGCACCAGCTGGAGGTGAGGAGAAGCGAGCAAAGCAAGAGCTGTCTTTACTCAGTCCGGATTGCACATGGAGAACCCAGATTGATGCCAAGGGCCAGACTGTCTGGTGTGTTGATACGGTATGTACCCATGTCCCTCATTTATCACACCGTCTAATCTCGATCCACAGGGTGGTCACCACTATACATTTGAGGAGGCCAAATCCGCCTCACCTCCGCCGGAAGGTGGATCTGCCGCTGCTGACTGGGTCGAGTGTCTTGAGCGAGCCAGGGACATGGCCCTGTCTCAGAGCATGGCAACGAATTATGGAGGCGACAACGGATTTGCCGACATGTCGTCACAAGTATCGAGCCCCTCGAGCACACTTGGAGGCCGAGGGAACTACTCCGAGGGCTTCGGCATGGGTGGTCAAGGACGCAATCATTTGAGCAAAAACCAGGCGAGCGGCGAAGATCCAGCGCCGAAACGTAACCGGTTCAGCAAGAGGCAATCAAGAAATGGACTGGGCCCTGCATTCTGATGAGGCACTCGAGCAACGATAGAGTACGGACAGACTTGGCAGGCTTCTGACTGATTGACTTTTGTCATCAATCTCGCTGGACATTCTGCCACCACCTATCACATTCAGTACAGTTCATGGCATTGGCAGCGAGGCGCTTTACTGCGGAGTTTTTCTTCTTCTAGGGGGCTGGCGGATGCATTTTCGGTGCATGTTTGTTTTCTAGCGTTTAGGGATGGACGGTATAGGCACAACTACGAGATGGTCACCGTTCAATGAATCGCAAAAGCTCAAGCTTCTGGATCTCTGGGGGTTCAACTCTGTTCCACCTACGAGGGAGACATGATGGGGTGGAAGCAACGACAAAATTGACCTTGTGTCTGCCCTAGCACAAAGGCGTGGAGCATTTAGGGACAGGAACGGCTTCTGCAAGCTTACATACAGGTTGTACATGGCAAGAAGGTGGTTTAGCATTCTTGGAACCGATTGATAGATGATAGTAGCAGGCTGGTCTTTGAACCTGGGCAAAGCGGGAGAGCTGGGGAAACAAGGTGTCCACCCCCGACAACTGCCACCGCTCTTGATGCCTGGGTATTGAGCTAAGGAGGGATAATAACCAACGTAATAGCTATAGATATGCAGCTGTAGTTGAAAAGATTCGATTGAAGTCGGTCATGCACTCAATCTGATGGAATTCGAGGTTCCAACTGGGTTCTATCGCTGGACTTGCTGGGGATGAAATGACTTAACATTGAACCAGACGACATTGGCACGAAGAGGGTGAAAGAAACCAAGCTGATGTAAATATTCCAGAACACTACAATAACACACTGATTTGCTCATACTTACAGGATTTTCCTATCTGGTTGGCTTGGTTGACTGTGTTGCCTGAATCATTCAAGGCCAGGTCATGTGACCGCTCGGATTTCTAGCCTGCGTTTTCTCGCGACGCAATGCGATGCGACGCGACACGATCGTCCCCAAGCAACCTACCTCAACTCCACGTGCCGACGACAACCCAATTCCGAACCCAAAACCAGGCAACACCGACAACATGCAGCCTCAATATCGCGCTTATGCGCAGCAGGTTCCGCAGAGATCGCCTCATGCGACGAACCAGCGGCGAGGTGGAATTGGTGCGTTGTGACAAGTTACTTGCGCTTTTGCCTACTAACATCCATCTCTCTTCCCCTAGGCCCCATGATGTCGTCAGGACCTCACCCTTCGGTTCCCCTGACTCAGGCCCAGATCGCCCAGCAGCAACAGGCCCAGGCGCACGCCAGCGAACTTGCCAAGCGACGGAGCCGCAAGCCTACTGACAAGAACATGCCCGAGGGTGTGGAAGACAGCATTATCGACCCGACCGGAGTCCAGCGGTACAAGGAACTGAGAGGTGTTGAGCGCCGACTGGATGCTACGATTACGCGCAAGCGTTTAGATATTGTCGACTACACTAGCCGCGGCTCCAAGGTTGGTTTATCCTGTAATTATGTTAGGAACCCCAAGCTGAACCGGCATTTAGCGATGCAAGACCCTTCGAGTTTGGATCAGCAACACGGTCGAGGATCAAATCTGGCAGAGCAACGGATTAAATGTTGACTCTTTCGACTTTACTCCCAACATGGAGGCATCTTTCCGGGTCAAGATCGAAGGCCGCCTTCTCGACGACGAAACCACTGAGGACGGACAGGCTGAGGCCGAGGCCGAAACGTCGGCAGAGGACAAGACGGAAAAGGAGGGTACTGATTCGGCGACCCAGAAGGCCAAGGCTCAGCAGAAGCCTCGATTCTCGCACTTCTTCAAGTCCCTGACTGTCGATTTCGACCGTTCCCAGTTCCGAAACGGCGCCGAGCAAACAGTCGAGTGGAAGAAGCCCGATGCTCCACCTCGGAACCAGCCTGCTGCCAGCCTTCCCGCAGCTGCCGACTTTGACGAGCTCACCTTCAAGAGGAACGGGGACGAGAACATGAACATCACCATCAACCTGTTCCGCCAGGAGACACCCGAGAGATATCAGCTAAGCCCCGAGCTTGCCGAAGTTGTCGACATGAAGGAGGCTACCCAGCAAGAAGCCGTGATGGGCCTATGGGAGTACATCAAGCTTCTTGGACTGCAGGAGGACGAGGAGAAGAGGAACTTCCGGTGCGATGAACCTCTGAAGAAGGTCAGTTGCTCTATTAAAACCGAATTCGAAATATTACAGTCACTAACACTTGCATCTAGATTGTGAGACAAGGTGATATCGGGCACATTCCGATGCTCAATGACTATGTTACACAGCACCTTCGTCCTCTCGAACCTATCCGGCTCCCCTACACCATCCGGGTCGACCAAGATTTCCACAAAGATCCCCAGCCCACTATCTACGATATTCAGGTTCCTGTAGAAGATCCTCTACGGGATTCCCTGCTACCCCTGCTCAACAACCCTCAGTATGTAACAATGCTGAAGGAAGTGACCGGCCTTGACGACCAGCTCGCTCGGGTAGTCCAGGCCGTCGCCGTTTCCAAGGCCAAGCACACCTTCTTCAAGTCCCTCAGCGAGGACCCTGCCAACTTCGTCAAGAACTGGCTCAGCTCACAGAAGAGAGACCTCGAGGTCATCATGGGAGAGGCACCAAGAGGCGGTGGCGAACATGCCTCGGGCGATGAGTGGCGAAAGGGTGGCAAGGACAGTGTCTGGGCTACCCAGAACGCCCGAGAAAGTGTCAACGTCCTGCTCTCTAAGCAGCGTTGAGCGAAAAGCCGACCGGTTTAGAGAGGGGTACAGGGCAGGACATCTGGGACTTGGAGTTGTATCAATTTTAACCTCGCGTAGGCTCAATCGGCGTTGGGAGCGTCATTTTGTATAATAATATCATGAACCAAGATTGGTGGGATATGAGGCATTGCCCCCGATGCAAACGAGGCTTCTGCCATGGGCGTTTGCGTTATTGTACGGGTTTTTTTTTATTTTAAAAAAAAACAGGCCGCAATGCCATCCATGACCAGACCAGGGTCGCGCTTTTTGGCCCGCATTGACGCTTCTGAAAGAATAAAGATGAGAACGCCTTGTGAGTGTGAGATTGTACAGAGATGAAGAGAAAATGCAAACAGGCAATCGAGACTGGACAGGGGTAGCTCGATCGACGATTACCGCTGAGGAGCCACTGGCATGGGTGGCATGTTGCGGATCTGCTTGATTAGGAACTCCCTCTCGTCAATGAACTGCTCGTCATCGGTTCGGTCCTCGAGGAAGTGCGATAGGAAGGTCAGCAGCTTCTCGCGGTTCATTAGGAGAATCTTCTGAACGGCAATTGACTTGTGTGGATTGGCGACAAACACCTTGAAGACGTGGAAGCCCTCGTACTGAACCATTTTCCTATCGTCTCGGAGCAGATTCATGCAGATCTTGAGGTGCTCGCCGCGATCGACATAGGCTGTCATGACACTGTAGTTGGATCGATCCAGCAGAATCTCACCGAGCAGCTTGATGGACTGGCGCTTGGTCACATAGCTGTTGGACTGTACAAGGATGTTGTTGTACTTGTCAAAGAAAAGGTCAAAGTTTGCCGACAGATATCTTGGCACGAGGTCCTTATGTCGTGTCAAGAGTTCCTAGAAACCCCACGTTAGCGTCAAGTTCCAGGGGTTGGCTGGTCAAGGTAGGGATGATCATGGCTTACTCGGAAAGTGGTGAAGGCATCAGCCGCCACCTCAAAGGAGCTCTTGTCGACCCAATCGAAGAATCGCCAAAATACGCCTCTGCCACTTTGGGGTCGTTCACGGTCGATGGCGTTGAGACCCTTGGAACTAGAACCTGGCTCGTCTCCGTCGTCGTATAGGATGATGGCCGCGGCGGCCTCGTTCTTGAGGAGCTCCCGGAGGACGGAGCCCGCAGGAGTAGCACTCTCCTTGTGATCATACCCACGGCATAGCTCGACCAAGACTTGAGGGCGGTTGCAGACGACGTAAGATAATGCGATGGGGTCGCTCTTGGGGGCGGCGGTCGCGGGGCGGAAGCGGAAGACGTATGAGAAGATGACTTGGGTGTCTTTGCGGGACTCGAACGGTAGGCGGAACAGGTTGACGGCGAGCAGGTGGAGGAGGTCTTCGTCGATGAGGCCGGTAACGAGCTGGTAGATTTGCTCTGGAGAACTGTCGGCTTCTACATGTCATGTTAGGCACTTGATCATATCAAAGGGGCCGATCGAGAGGATGGACGTACCATGGGTGCCCTGAAGAATTACCTTCATCTGGCTCAGAACACGAGCAAGTTCTTCAGCCTGGAAAGGTCAGTGTCCCTTCTGGGGTTTGAAATCAAAGGGCTACCACCTTGGAGGCTCCATTGGGTCCCTCGAGCTTTGAGATGTGCTCACGGGCTTGCTTTGGGAGGTCGGCGACAGTCCGTGTCCGGGCTCTTCCAAATAAGAACGACATGGCGGGGTGTTGTGTAGCAGCTCTGGATAGCTACTGGCAAGAAGCTAAGCTCTTCTGGAAAGACAGTACACTGGCGACAGTCTGAACGAGACTTGAATAAAGTTGCTGCTGGATGGTGTATCTGACGGGGAGCAGGAGCTTGTGATGGAAGCTAGGCTTGTTATCGATAGCGTTTGGCGGAGGGCTTCTGGGTTTACGGGGGCTGCTCCTGAAACTCTGGAGGTAGGAGCTTAGAGGCGGAAAAAGTCCAGACGAAGAAGACGGAATCAGAGAACGAAAAGGCCAGTCTAGGTCAGGTCATGAGTGGGTTGACAGCAAGCAAGTAATAACAAGCATCCGTCGAGCAAGCCAGCATTGGAGCCCGCTTTGCTTTGTTGTTTGGCAAGGTACGGCAACGGTTACGGCGGGCAGCAACCACGCGCGCACGCGCCACAGCACAGGAGAGCGACCTAACGTTAGCCTGCCCTGGTTGATTTAGCGCAAGAACATCTGGAGCTTCAGCAGGAGCCATTTGGAGCCTGACGAACGGGGATTCATTCGTTGCAACGAGACGAGGATGCCATTTTCTCTTGGAAAAACACCGCCACCATGCCCAATGCAGTAAGATCTGACACAATTACTCGCATTGGACCTTGAGACGGCTCTGTAGATGGGATATAAACCTGCCAAGACAAGTGTATCGAGTCCAGCAGACAGTTCAGTTGAATCGTGCTTGAGCGGTGAGTTGGAATGTTTCAGGGGAAGATGGAGTGGTACGGTCTCGAGGACAAGGACGTTGTACTCGACGATTGCGGAATTTGAATAGGCTGCACTTGATAACGTAGGACTAATGATTTGTAATTTGCACGAAGCACGGCGAATGTTCTGTCAACTCCAAAGACAAATGATTCATTAATCTTGCGCCATCGACATTGTCTCTATTGTAAATCATTCGAGGTGTTGAACTTGAGAAGAACGGCAGGGCGCGTTATCGGGCTGAGGATCGGACCCGGGCATGGAGGGGCGGACATGGAGGCTGATGAGGGCATCATGTACCAAGTACTTCTAGAAAATAGCAGATTAGTGCAAAACACACCAAAATCCAATCGCCCCAGTGGTCTTTACTACCGGAACCTACCCGCCAGTCCCTGGCAGCGCGGGGCACACATAGGTTTTCCCCCACCTCCGGTCGCCTGGCTTGAGTCACCCACCATCGCGAGGTGCCTTTTTTGAAATCTGCCCCTCCATCCAACGACTTGTCGCTGGCGAATCTATTTTTGAGGTCATCTTTGTGCTGACCCGACTGTCAGGCGAGACGTATTGCACGGTGAGTCACTCTACAAGAACGAATATCATAATAATCTGCCTTCTTCGACTTATCCTCGTCATCCTACTTCCTCCATAACTTTGTAGAGAGTCTTGACTGACCCCTCCTCGGTGCTTCAGCAGCCAAATCGTCAGTCATCATGTCTATCGACTTCCCCAAGGAAGAAGAGGCCATCATCCAAAGATGGCGCGATATTGACGCGTTCCTTCGACAGGTTTGTTCGATTTTTGTGTCCTCTCGCCCGCTACCCTCATCCCACCATTGCGCGAGGGCGTTTACTCTCGATCGGCATTTCTAACATTTCTCTCTTTCTCTAGGTTGAACTGTCCGAAGGTCGCCCGCGCTACACTTTCTACGATGGTCCTCCTTTCGCTACCGGTCTTCCTCATTACGGCCATCTTCTCGCCTCTACCATCAAGGATGTCATCCCCCGTTACTGGTCCATGAAGGGTTTCCACGTTGAGCGCCGTTTCGGCTGGGATACCCACGGTCTCCCAATTGAGCACGAGATTGACAAGAAGCTGGGAATATCTGGCAAGGCTGCCGTCATGGAGCTCGGTATTGCCAAGTACAACGAGGAATGCCGCTCCATCGTCATGAGATATGCTACCGAATGGCGACACACCATTGAGCGCCTGGGCCGATGGATTGACTTCGACAATGACTACAAGGTAAATGCGATCGGCTCGAAACTATTACTGTGCTGACTGTAAATTTCAAAGACCATGGACCCTCGCTTCATGGAATCCGAGTGGTGGGTGTTCAAGCAGCTCTTCGACAAGGGCCAGGTCTACCAGGGCTACCGAGTCATGCCCTACTCTACGGTTCTCACCACCGCTCTGAGCAACTTCGAAGCCAACCAGAACTACCAAGATGTTACCGATCCTGCCGTTGTTGTCTCATTCCCCCTCGTTGACAACCCCGAGGTCAGCCTGCTCGCATGGACAACCACCCCTTGGACCCTTCCCTCGCATCTGGGTCTGGCAGCCAACCCCGATTTCGAGTACGTCAAGATCCTCGACGAGAAGAGTGGTAAGACCTATATTCTGCTTGAGAAGCTCCTTGGGACCCTCTACAAGGACCCCAAGAAGGCCAAGTTCAAGATCCTCGAAAGGATTAGTGGAAAGGATATGCTTGGGTGGAAGTATCTGCCTCCCTTCGACTACTACTACGAGGACTTCAAGGACATTGCTTTCAGAGTCTTGAACGCTTCTTATGTCACTGATGACAGCGGTGTGGGTATTGTCCACCAGGCTCCCGCCTTTGGTGAGGACGATTACAACGTTGCCCTAGCTGCAGGTATCATTACTGAGAAGCGCCCACCCCCTGACCCCGTCAACGACACTGGTCACTTCACTGACCGCATCACCCACTTCAAGGGCATGCATGTCAAGGAAGCCGACAAGCACATCATCAAGCACTTGAAGAACGCTGGCCGCATTGCCAACGAGTCTCAGATTAGACACTCGTACCCTATGTGCCCTCGTTCCGATACGCCTCTGATCTACAAGGCTGTTCCCTCGTGGTTCATCCGCATCCCCAGTATCATCCCCGACATGCTCAAGAACATTGAAGGCTCCCACTGGACTCCCTCATTCGTCAAGGAGAGGCGTTTTGCTAGCTGGATCGCCAATGCTCGCGACTGGAACGTTAGCAGAAACCGCTACTGGGGTACCCCTATCCCTCTCTGGGTCAGTGACGATCTGGAGGAGAGAGTGTGCATTGGTAGTGTTGAGGAGCTGCGTGAGCTGAGTGGATATGAAGGCGACCTTACCGATCTGCACCGTGATAAGGTCGACCACATCACTATTCCTAGCAAGATGGGCAAGGGCCAGCTGAAGCGTATTGAGGAAGTTTTTGACTGCTGGTTCGAATCTGGAAGCATGCCCTATGCCAGCCAGCACTACCCCTTCGAGAATGTTGACAAGTTCAAGGAGTCCTTCCCTGGAGACTTCATTGCCGAAGGTCTCGACCAGACCCGTGGATGGTTCTATACTCTCCTCGTTCTCGGAACCCACTTGTTTGGTTGCTCGCCCTTCCAGAACTGTGTCGTCAACGGTATTGTGCTTGCTGAGGACGGCAAGAAGATGTCGAAGCGACTCAAGAACTACCCCGACCCCTCTATCGTCATGTCCAAATACGGCTCAGACGCACTCCGCCTTTACCTCATCAACTCTCCCGTCGTCCGAGCTGAGCCCCTGAGATTCAAGGAGTCCGGTGTCAAGGAGGTTGTCCAAAAGGTTCTCCTGCCGCTGTGGAACAGCTACAAGTTCTTCGAGGGTCAGGTGGCTCTCCTGAAGAAGGTGGAGAACGTCGATTACGCTTGGGATCCCAGCATGGAGTCGAGCAACACCAATGTCATGGATCGATGGATCCTGGCCAGTTGCCAGAGTCTGCTGCAGTTTGTTAACCAGGAGATGAAGGGTAAGGACCCCCTATAGCCATTCGACAGCTCATACTAACGAACCCACCCTAGGTTACCGACTCTACACTGTCGTCCCGCGACTCCTGGGTCTCATCGACAACACTACAAACTGGTACATTCGATTCAACCGAAAGCGACTCAAGGGAGAGAACGGCTTGAACGACACCCTTCATGCCCTAAACGCCCTCTTCGAAGTCTTGTTCACCCTGTGCCGTGGACTGGCACCCTTCACACCCTTCCTTACCGAAACCATTTATCTCAAGCTCCTCCCTCACATTCCCGAGAACCTCCGTGGTGAGGACTCTCGAAGTGTGCACTTCCTGCCATTCCCTGATGTCCGACAAGAGCTGTTTGACGAGGAGGTTGAGCGACGGGTTGGACGCATGCAGCGTGTCATTGAACTTGCTCGTGTGTCCCGTGAGCGCCGTACCATCGGACTCAAGCAGCCTCTCAAGACCTTGGTGGTGATCCACCCTGACCCCCAGTACCTTGAGGATGTCAAGTCCCTGGAGGGATACATCACTGAAGAGCTGAACGTCCGCGACCTGGTTCTCTCTAACGACGAGGCCAAGTACAACGTCCAGTACAGTGTCACTGCCGACTGGCCTGTCCTCGGAAAGAAGCTCAAGAAGGACATGGCCCGTGTCAAGAAGGGTCTCCCCTCCCTCACCAGCGAACAAGTGCAAGGCTATGTGCGAGATGGACACGTCTTTGTCGATGGTATTCGCCTAGAGGCGGGTGACCTGGTTGTGCGCAGAGGAGTCAAGGAGGATGAGGCCTCTAAGAACTTCGAGACTAATACCGACAGCGAGGTGCTCACTATCTTGGATGCGGAGATTCACCCCGAGTTGGCTCAGGAGGGTCTTGGTCGTGAAATCATCAACCGTGTGCAACGGCTCCGAAAGAAGGCCGGTCTCGTCCCAACCGACGACATTAGAATGGAGTACCGAGTGCTTTCCGACCCCGAAGCTGTGGGTCTTTCAGATGCTTTCCAGTCGCAGACGGCTGCTTTTGAGAAGGCATTGCGACGGCCTCTTGACCAGGTGGCAGCCGAGGCGGGGGCTGAAGGTCTCATTGCAGAGGAGGAACAAGAAGTACAGCAGGCAACATTCCTGCTTCGACTACTTAAATTGTAGACTGTCTAGTTTTAGACCATGTAGAGAAGATTAAAGTGACAGATGATGACAAGTTGAATTTGCTTTATATTTCCTCTAATTACTTTTTTGATGCGGCCTGGATAAAGGGTGTTAGGACTTGCATGTCACATTAAGAGCGCGATTTTACGAGAATGGGAACAAACCAGATAGCAATCCTTGAGCCTCATGAATTCCTTAGCACACTTGTCTTTGTGTATAGAGTTGTAGTCGGCAACGATACACTTGCCGTAAGCTGCGGCCTATGACAACCAAGAGTCAGTCAGTCGGTGGTAGACGTATTTGAACAGGCCACACGATTGCGCACCTCAACCGAGCATTGAGAAACTGCCTTGGCAAGCTTCTGAATAGGGCGAGTGGTTTTTCGGTTCATATCGGCGAGGCTGAGGGTTTGACGTAGCGTGAGAGGGATGAGCTTTGAAAAGGACCCGTTCAAGACTCTTGCAAAAGTGATGCTCATACAGTGTCGAATGAGACGGAAATAACACTGTACTGGGATCGATCTTGGATCTCCACCACAGTTGAGGCTTGCATTGAGCACCAGCCACCCACTTAACGCGCCCAAGCTCTCCGACAACCATCGCGACCGCGCAAGTTCGCGTTTTCTAGAATCTCACATTGCGCTTTGTTTTGCTTCGAGCCCCCCTTTGGATACGACTGTACGATACCTTTGACGGCGCCATCATCAAGCCGCTCCTCCGATTCTCTGTACATCCTCTTTTCGCGACTTCCATTCACCGCGCGCTGCGCCCGACGACATTGTACGCCGACTTTCGCCAACTCTTTGTCAAGCTCCCTCGACTTCCATTGTCGCGATCGGCTTGGATAAACATACCCACACTGGACTGTACACCGACTTCTTGACTATGGACCAATGACGGAGGGGGGCAGCTCGCCGACAATTCACTGTCCATGTCTATCGACCGCTCACCCCAAGCCCCAAATGCGACTTCACCAGTGGCACCTATGTCGCCGTCCGCGCAACGAGCGGCGTCGCCATCCGACGACGATGGTCGCTCAAGCAATGCCAGTCGGGCGCCTTCGAGCCAGGATCCCTACTACTCTAACGAAGGTCTGTGTCCTTTTGGAAGCGCAGACTTGATCTTGTATTGACCAATTCAGACATTGCTGCATTGCACTCTGTTGTCGTTAGGGCGCAGGAGTTGCTCGACACGGCCCCCGAACCGAAACCGCTCCCCGCTGCTGCGCTCTTCAAGGCCTACGACCAAGTTCTCCCTACCTATGGCATTGACCCCGATACAGATCATCACCTGTCGACCTTTGTGTTCCGAGTGGGCGGCGAGAGAGGCGGCGGCACTTTGCTCGACAAGTTTCAGTCTATCCTGGGCCGTATGGGGATTGTTCTCGAGTTTGGCGACAACACCACCGCGTCAACTCGAACATCGCCATCTGCGTCTCCCGCATATTCATCAACAAGTCGCCAAAGCCACGGTCTTGTACGAGAGAAGAATGGGAACCTTACATCTGAAGGAGTAGCCATATCCCGGCCGTCGGTCGTGCCCTTGGTGCAATCATTTGCTTCGCCAGAATCACAACCTCCACGGCAAAATCATGTGGACTTTTCCGACACAGATGAGGAGGATGGTGAAGATGAGGAGATGCGAAGGGCTGTTCTCTCTTCAGCCATGAATCGCTGGCGTTCTCTGGTCGCGAATCGTCGAACACAACAGGCGCAACGAATCCCCTCTTTTCCGAGCATCCCCGAGGAAGCTTCTGCCGATGTGAGGAACTTTGAGGACCGCCCCTTTCAAGATCGACCAGCCATCACGGTTTCGGAGGCTTCGACCATTCCACGTATCAATGGTGTTAAACCAGACGGCCAGGTATCGGACAAGGGAATAACGGATGTGAATGTGCACCCGATTTCACCACTGTCCCCAGTCAAACCCCGTCCTGCTATTATCGATGCTATCCGGCCATCGACAGCTTCTACGCAACAGAATCAGAATGATGCGGTTGCTACGCATCAGGAGGACGACGCCCCCTCTTCCCCCAAAGAGCAACCCACTACGCAGCCACAGGAAGTTGAAGAGCCTTCCAGGCATTCCACGGCTCCCTCTGTACCGGAAGTTCCTATTCCACCAGTACCCGAAGTACGCATTGCGCCAACAGTTACCCAGCTGGATGTAACGCAGCGCGATGAGAAGACTAGGAGCCGACCTTCAACACCCCCGGAGCCCACAGACAATACGACATTAAAGCAGAAATCTGTGCAGGAATCTGAAATAGGGCCTTCGACACCCGTTCAACAACCCGATCCAGAAAAGGAGTATCAACGACTTCTAAGACGTGCCAGCCGGGCTCGTGAGATATACCTCGCGAGCAAGGTCTTCAACCATTGGGCTGATCGCACTGCCCGTCGGCTCGAACGGGATGCTGTTGCTAGACGGCATATGATCAGATTTCGTTACTTCCGATCCTGGTGCCAGGCTCCTGTCGTCCGGGAGCCTACAGTTGATGACATGAGGGCGGCTGTTGTGGTAAGGAAGTGGCAGCGCATCGTAGCACAAGAGAAAACCCTTGAGTCCATGGCGAAGGCAGCGGCCCGGGCATATCAATTGAAGAAGATTCACCAAGTCCTGGATCGTTGGTCTTGTCTTCACTTGGAGCATGTTGGCCGTCAAATCACAGCCTCGCACAGCAGAACAAAAGCCCTCTCAAGGTGGATATTGCAAGCTTCTAATGGTGTGGCCCTGGATGAAGCCATCAAGTCCCAAGTAGGACTGCAACAGCAACTGACCGCCATCCACAAGTGGCAAGGTTATGCTGAAAGGGAAACCATACTTGCCGACAGCGCCATGCGCATGGGCAATGTCCACCAATCCTTTACGCATCTGCAGGAGTGGTGGGATCAAGCCGAGATTGGTCGACGAGCGACCACATATCGTCAACATCTGTTGATGAAGAGAGTAGATTTTGCTTTTGATCAGTGGAACCTACAGGCAAGGGCCCAGGCCTTCACATGGAGGCGCGAATATCTCCAAGTTACTCGAGTATTTGACCGATGGTGTCAAAGAGCTGAGCAGGATGGCGACTTGTCGCGGAGAGCGGAGAGCTACTATGAAACTCAGGCCAAATCAAGAGTTCTTGGATGTTTCCGCCGCTTCGACCAGGAATCATCACACATGACGCGCTTGGAGGACCGCGCACGTCTTTACCTTCGAGCAACCTCTTTGTTGAGAGTGTTTGACAAGACGGTGAAGCGCCGCCAGGATCAGGACAAGCAATATGTGAAACGGTACCTGAAGGCAAGATATACCCAGGTGTCATCGGCAAAGAAGAAACGCAACTTCTTTTCTGCCCTTGACCGATGGAGAGCATTGGCTGCCGAGGATCGAGAGCAAAGAGAAAAGGCTCTGGAACTTTACAACCAAAAACAAAACCGCCGACTGATGCTGATCGCCGAAGAATGGGCAAAACAAGCGGCTATTGATCAACAGCGTTTGCAAGACGCCCGACTGGAGCATGCCCAAGGATGGCTAGACGCATGGAAGGAACATGCTGAGGATCTTGAGCAACGTGACGTGGAAGCCTGGCAGCTTTGGGCGGCAGACAAGCAAAGGCAATCTCTGAAGGCGTGGTCAATCGCGTCACTACAACAGAGCGGACAGGCTCATACGGCACTGGAAGTCCGTAAGAAGCACGAACGAGAGAGACGCAATCGCATCCTGCAACACTGGAGACAACGTGATGACAGGTTAGAGGATATGCCGCCAGGATTCAACTCCCAGCCCAACTCGGTCGTTCGCTCATTGAACTGGTCGCGAGGAAGCTGGAGGGGGTTCTCAGGAAGGAGGTCAACACTTGCCCGGAATGATCGAGCATACGATTACTCCAATACGCCGCTCGAGACACCGACACGATGGACGGGGCATCCCCTTTCCATGTCGACTATGTTGCCCCCAGGGTCAATGGCACCACTTAGGGAAGCGGACGAGAATGATGCTGTATCCTCGTTTGCTGGTGACGACGACGATCTCGATCCCGCGTCACCTTCTTTGCGGCCCGCCTCACGGGGGCAATTCTCAACTATGCCATCAACAACGCCGATGGCACCAGTGCCATCACATCTGGTGGAACGTGGTCTTCGGGGTGAATTCGAAGAGCCGGAACAAAACGGTATCAACAGGAGTACAAAGACCAGTTCTCGAATACCCAAGTTCGAATCACCTCGGCCTCGACCGGAGGACCCACGGCTAGCTGGCGTGTCCGAATCCGCCAACACTGACCGAGTTGGACCTTCGCAACGATCGGTGGCTGCAACGAGAACATTCGGGTTCAGACAGCCGAACAGACGGACTATCGGGCCTCAGCCTGCCTCACCCGAAGCCACCACGCAGGCAATTGCAAGCAAATCTGTCGGTGCAAGGCCAACCGGATTACGATTTGGTGCGACACAAAACGGAGGAATTACGCCATCTGCAAGATCTGTTCGTATCCAGTCACCGAGAACATTCACGGTCGCAACACCTCGGCCTGGAAGGGCGTCAAGGAGCGTCAGGCTGCGAAGCGGCACCGCCATGAACCAATAACTTTTATCAACATGGATGGGCTCTCCTGAATATGGGGACAGGAATGTGTGGAGGATGTCAATGCATCGGAAGAGTAGGAAATGGATGGTTGGCTTGTATGTGCTTCATGGATGTTGGATGGCTCAGTTCATTAAAGGATACCCCTTTTTGTTTAACGTTAGTATTATATTGGATGTGGATGCATGACGGCGAGGAGCCGGTGGCGTTGCGGCGGCTGAAAGTCAATGAATGAGTTGCTTGATGAAAGCGAAAACCTTTTGTAAATGACGAGATTTTCTATTGCGAGCTTGAGCATTATCATACGCGTGAACCTGGTGAAAGAACTCGTATCTACTGTTGAGGTAGTTGAGAACTGGACCGTAGTGTTCACTAAGTCAAGACGAGTCTAGGCGGACACCAGCGCCTCTTCACGTTTATGTAGCTGGATTTGTTTTTCGGCTCTTACTAGATCACGTATATATACTGGTGATATTCTCCTACGCTTTCTCACGCGTCTAAATGATATTATTGGATCCATGCAAGGGGTTCAAGAATCGTGTGCCATCTGTCATGGCCTCTTTGATGGAGCTGATGGTGGGGGCTGAAGAGCTGGGGGTCACGTCACCTCCATCAGCTGCCCGGGGTAGGTCCCCGTCCGTATTCCCGTTTATTGCATTGACTCTGATGATCTCAAGCTGCGCCAAAGCTACCTAGGCATTAACAACTCTCCTTCGCGCCCAAGACCGCACAGCCAGAGTGCTCCCCTCTTCTCCCGGAGATGCACGCGCCTCGTGCTTTTTAATAGCATGAAGGCCGTCCTGCCGGGTAACCCGCGCTCGAGGCTCCAAGGGTTGGCCTCGGGATATTGGGATTCCCGACACATCAACGTGAGTGCCGATGCTCCTGAGCTCGGGTGACTGCTGACGAGAGGGATTAACTGTAGGTATACATCACCGGAGGCGCTTTTACTATCCTCGAGGGATCCAGTGGGATCCTACAGACAGTTTACGATGATGGCGAACAGCCTCTCGAGGCCATCGCCTTTGACGAAGCTACAGGCAAGATCGCTACATGCACATCGACCGAAGTCCGAGTCTACAAGCCGTTTGGGTCGCGCGAGGATGCCCTGAAGGTTTCAATCCCCGACAGCTAGATGGATCGCATGGATGGATGAGCTCACAGCTTGGTAGTGGGCCCTGGAGTCGACCTTTGACATTCCGAATCCGAACGCCGACGACGCCCCGTGTACTCTGTCCTGGGGCAGCTCCGAGGAGCTTCTGGTGGCCACATCCTCCCTCTCCCTATACGCCACGAAAAGCGAACCGAAACGTCTATGGCAGAAGAAGCTACCGAGCCCCGTCAAGTGGGCGTTACTATCATACGACTCTGCCTACATTGCCTCGACCGGTTACCACGATCACTTGGTCAAGATCTGCCGCAGACTCAATTACGGCGCAGACGAAGTACGCTTCGACCTTACGTACCTGCGACACCCAAACATTGTCACCTCTGTGAGGTGGCGCAAGCCGTTCCACCTGGAGCAGGCTGTTGACAATGTTCTCTATACTATCTGCCTCGACAAATGCGTTCGGATATGGACACCGACCGAGACTCCGGATGGGAAACATTGGCACCTTTGGGGTCAGGTTGACGTTTGTGCGCCGTCGCGAGAGGACCCGTACCCCCTGGATATGCGCTTTGCCATGATTCTCGATGGGCGGGATTTCACAGCATCGGTTGAGCAAGCTGTGCAGGCTCGCATGTCCGACGACTCAACCACCGATGACCCTGTCGCGCTTGATCACCTGGTCGCGATCGCTAACAAGAACCCCGAGATTTGTATAGCTCTTGATGGAAGAGGGACCATGTCAGCGTGGGCGCTTGAAAATGTTGGCAGTAACACTGCAAACGCCCCGACTCTATTCAAGGTTGCTCAGGTCAAGGACACCGATTTTGAGCTCTTTGGCAGGTTTCTGCCGTCTCACGACGCGCCCCATACCGAGATCCAGACATACTGCGACAAGAAGACTGGCAAGGTGCACTTCCTGCTACATGCATTTGATGGAAGGATCGGCGTCTTTACAGGAAATGTTGCAGACCTGCTGGATCCAACTACCAATGACCGGCGTCTCTCGCTACACTCGATCTGGGCCGGCCACTCAACCTCCATCACCAAGATTGTCCGAAACTTCAGCGGAAGGGCTGTCGTCTCACGGACACGAGAGAGTGAAAGCATAGTATGGAAGCATCTTCTCAACCGGGACGAGAACCCAGGCTTGAGCTTGACCCGAGGTAGCGTGATCCCGGAAAAGGGCCACATTCACCGGATATGTGTTCTAAGAAAGGGGCGCTTCGTCGTATTCCTCCGCCATCAAACGGTTGCACTCTGGGATTGCAGGGCTAGCCGAGCCGTTTCGCTTGCGCACTGTCCTTATGAGGTATCCGGAAAGCCGCTCTGTCTCATTATTCTTCCTCGGTCAGATGTGAAGGAGTACACTGTTGCGCACATTGCGACAGTGACATCTGAAGGGAAGGGTATTGTATGGGAAGTCCATCTCCCCTCATATTTTGAAGACCCCAAAACCAAGGCCGGCGCTAGTATCGAAGAGTTCTGCCGCTTCGAGCTGGGGGATGTCGAGGATTTGTCATACGTCCTCCCAGTCGATCCCGCAGGTTCATCGCCCATTGTGTCGGGCTTTCTCGATATCTTCGCTCGAGATGTGGCTATCTCATATACTCGCACCGGCCGTGTTGACTTCTGGACAGCACGTGTCGACCCTGAAAAGCGCAGTGTCGGATGGCTATCCACTTGCACCACTCAGACTGGGGTGTCTGAGCCTGCCCTGGTTAGTGGAAGTACCTTGAAGAAGGCATCTCTTGTGAACAAGACGAGGTCGCAACTTACAATTTGGGACATTGGTGGTTCTCGCCTGGAATATGAGAACAATTTCGAAGAGCATCAGGTAATTCAAGATCTGGACTGGACATCAACACCTGACGCCCAGTCCATCTTGGCCGTTGGGTTCCCCTATCGAGTCGTTCTCATGTCCCAGATGCGATTCGACTACCTTAACAAAGGTCCAGCTTGGGCGCAGATCCGAGAGATTAGCATCCGCGAACTCACTCCACACCCGATTGGCGACTCAACCTGGCTGGGCGACGGCTTCTTGGTCATTGGTGCTGGAAACCAGATGTTTGTACAGGATAGGCGTGTTGGTGTCTCTGAGTCTCTCAGGTCTGACCTTCGTTTGCCACCACGCAAGGATGGCACATTGGATCTGTTCCAAGTGGTTCAACGATTCAATGGTCCTCTGCCAGTATTCCACCCCCAGTTCCTCAGTCAATGCATCCTGTCTGGCAAGACCACACTTGTACGGCGCATCTTGGTGGCCATGCACAAGATTCTGAAGTATTACCTTCACGGAGAGACACTGGATGACTACTTGGGCATGGATTTGAGCGAGTTCTACACACCCGAGGTTTGTAACATGATCGTGAAAAGTGTTGGTCTGAAGGACACTGACATTGGTAATTAGCAAACTCATACCCAGGCTGTCGATAAGTCTGCAGGCGCGTATCTAAATGGAAATGGCGGTGACGAAGACGAAGACGACGATATCTTCACTGAGCAGACAGCAGTGGCAATCAACGAGAAGCTGGTTAAGATTGGTGTTCCACAGCTCTCTGGCCACGAACAAATCCAGCTTGCCGACATCATCGAGTGTGTCGCCCTTGTCGAGAGGCATCGTCGTTCGATGGACGAGAATGGCGCCCGCTTCATGCTCTTCTTCCGTCAACATGCACTGCGAAAAGGACGGACCAACGAGATGCACCTCTCCTGGCGAGAGATCAACTGGGCTTTCCACTCAAACAGTCAGGATATTCTAGCCGACTTTGTTTCGAGACAGAGTCATGGCAGCATGCTTTGGGAGCATGCTCGTGAGAGCGGTCTCTTCATGTGGCTGTGTGATTCAACCGCCTTGGTATTTGATTCCGCCCTGATTCTAGGTCAACATTGATTGCTAACTCATAGCAGAAAGCTCAGTTCGAGTTGATTGCTCGAAATGAATACACAAAGAACGAAGTGAAGAACCCAATCGACTGTAGCCTGTACTATCTCGCCCTCCGCAAGAAGACGGTGCTTCAGGGTCTGTGGCGAATGGCAAGCTGGAACAAGGAACAGGCAGCGACTCAGAAATTGTTGTCGAACAACTTTGAAGACCCCAAGTGGAAGACGACAGCTCTGAAGAACGCGTATGCGTTGCTCAGTAGACGGCGCTTCGGTAAGTTAGAAAGATGTGTACTGATACATATGCTAACAATCAGCAGAATATGCTGCGGCATTCTTCCTGCTAGCTGACCACCTTCATGATGCTGTAGAAGTGTGCTTGAATCAGCTCAAAGATATGCAACTGGCCATTGCGATAGCGCGTGTGTATGAGGGAGATGACGGCCCAGTCTTGCGGCGACTGCTTCAAGACGTTGTGCTTCCCTTGGCAGCCCAGGAGGGTAACCGCTGGCTGGCATCTTGGGCATTCTGGATGCTTGGCCGTAAGGACATGGCTGTGCGAGCGCTCATCGTATGTTTCCCCCTGAATCCTCACATAGCAGAAGTTCCGAAAACTAACATTGCTGATAGACCCCTGTCTACACCCTTCTGGAAACACCTTGTTCGCCCGACATCAAATCGAGGTTATTCCTTACCGATGACCCTGCGCTAGTGGTTCTCTACTCGCACTTACGACACCAGACATTGCAGACATTGAGGGGAGCCTCCAAGGTCACCCCCAAAGTCGAGTGGGAATTTGTACTGCATAGCGCCAAGCTGTATGATCGAATGGGATGCGATCTCCTTGGATTGGATCTGGGTAGGTTTAGCTGGAGGATTACTTGAACGAATAATGCTAACTGTGATATAGTACGAAACTGGGAGTTCCAGCAATCGCCTCCTGCTGCTGGCCTCGGTGGAGAGGTCAACCCGCTCAAGTTGCTACGCCGGAGGAGTTCACTTGTTGTCGCCGACTTGCCGTCGCCTACTCTTCACTTTGAGGGAAAGAAGGCTGTTAAGCCGCCACCGACAACGTTCGAGGAGCCGGATGCAAGCTCTCTGTTGGATAGTTTTGGGTTCTGATGCCCGGGGCTGAAGGGCTGTGTAATGAGAAGTAATGGAGGGTTGGTCGCATGACTTTGTTTAGTGGGGAGGGGATATTACTAGCTTTACATATGGATAGGAGGGGTTGGTTGAATGGAGTTTGGGATGGTGAGACCATGGCTTCGCGTATTCTCGTGGTGTATTCGTAGTCTGCATATCTATCTGGAGTGTTATGATACACTAGTTGGGCTGTAATATCAAGGCTATCGCTGTAGGATTGCTCTCAAAGATTGTTCCTTTGTGAACTTACGGGACCACACATTGCTCCGACACCTCAACTTGGTTGTCCTACCTGATCATTCGCGTTCATCTCACTCTTCATGACTCCTCCGTGTCTGGTTACCCTGAACTTTCGGGCCGGAGGTGGAGGCCGATCTCCCCCAGAAATGACGGAATGTGGGGTGTTGCCTAGTTCGGAATACAAGCCGGTTGGACAATTTGCTTCGTAATCAACCGCCCATGTCTTATAATCGCGAACTTATCTCCTAAGCGTCACCGACGACATCGGCATCTATCTCCTCCTCCTCCTCCATTCGCCTAGAGCTAACCGTGAAAATGGCGACGCGGACGGTTCCCGGGCGCAGCTTCACGGTGCGAGGCGTCGTAGTCGGCCTCCTCGTCGGCACCGTCATCTGCTTCTCCAACATGTACTTCGGCCTCCAGACGGGATGGGTGTCCATCATGTCCATGCCTGCAAGTCTCATGGGGTTCGGTATCTTTAAGCTGCTCGCTCCGCACCTGCGGTTTCCCTTTTCTCCGGTTGAGAATGTCTTGCTGCAGAGTGTCGCGTGCGGTATGGCTATTATGCCTCTTGGATGTGGTCTTGTTGGAGTTGTGCGTCACGTAATTTGGCTTTGTTAATGAACGCGTTTCTAATGGATGATAGGTTCCGGCGTTCAACTATCTTTTGGAAAAGGATGAGCAGGGTCCTATCAACTTGAGCACTTGGCAGCTTATCATTTGGTCTCTGGGACTTTGTTACTTTGGCGTGGTCTTTGCAGTTCCTCTGTAAGTCCAAGATACTGCAATCATGCTTCCGGATTACTGACCAAGTGTTAGACGCGTCCAAGTCATCATTAGAGAAAAACTCAAGTTCCCTAGTGGTTTTAGTACCGCCGTGTTGATCTCGGTTCTCCATGGTCAGGGCCGCCAATCCAGCAAGGATGAGCTCGAGGCTGCTGCCAAGGGCACCTTTGCAAGTCTCGTACCTCGCGATGAACCGTTTCAACCGGCTGAAATTGGTTCGGCCGCGACAGACCAGGAGCATCAGCATGAGATCGAGGATGAGGATGAGGACGACAAAGGGGATTGGGCAGCAAACATCCGACTGCTGCTCCTGTGCTTTGGCGCCTCTGGCTTGTTTACGTTGGCTACATACTTCTTCCCCGTCCTACGGAACTTGCCCATCTTTGGGTCTGTCGCGGCTAATACTTGGTTATGGACGTTCAACCCGAGTCTTGCGTACGTTGGCCAGGGTATCATCATGGGTACAGAGACCACTCTACACATGCTGCTCGGCGCTGTGGTGGGCTGGGGAATTCTCAGTCCCATTGCCAAGTCGCGAGGATGGGCCCCTGGTGATGTTGACGACTGGGAGCATGGCAGCAAGGGCTGGATCATCTGGATCTCCCTCGCCATCATGCTGGTGGATGCCATTGTCAGTCTCGCATATGTTACCCTTCGTGCCGTCTGGACAAACGATCAAACCGCAAGCTTCATAACCTCCCTGCGACATAGAGTTCAGGAGCATGGTGTTTCTGGATTGTGGAAGCCACAGTCTCATGACTACTCGTTGCTCAATAATGAGGATACTGATACTCACTCCCACCACGACGAAGATGCTGCAGATGAGGCTGAAGTTGACAAAGAAGAAGAGGACGCCCCTCCACATCAACGAATCAGCGGCCGACTTGTCTCAGTTGGGCTTCTGGCATCCATTGCACTCTGCGTTTTGACGATTCACCTGGTTTTTGGTGATCTTGTACCGCTCTATGCTACCATCATTGCGGTCCTGATGGCCTTGGTCCTTAGTATCATGGGTGTGAGAGCGCTGGGCGAGACAGATCTGAACCCTGTGTCCGGCATTAGCAAGCTTGCACAGTTGTTCTTTGCCCTGATTATTCCTCAGTCGCACAAGTCTAGTGTTCTTATCAACCTGATTGCAGGTGCTGTTGTATGTACTCTCAACTCCATCCCCTTGCCTATGACAGCTGCTAACGAGATCTCTACTGTAGTCTGAAGCTGTAAGTCCCAGACCGCACTCCAGAACCTAGTTCCGAACCGATACTGACAGTTACAACCAGGGTGCTCTGCAAGCCGGCGATCTCATGCAGGACCTCAAAACTGGTCACCTACTGGGAGCTGCTCCTAAGGCTCAGTTCTGGGGTCAGGTCATTGGAGCTACTGCCGGCGCTATCCTCAGTGCCTTCATCTACCGCATCTATACTACGTACGTACTGCTGGGATTGGTCATTAGTTGTGAGAGGGTTTGTTAACATGGCTTGACTTATAGAGTCTACGAAATCCCTGGTGATCTCTTCCAGGTACCCACTGCCTATGTTTGGATCTTCACAGCAAGACTTGTCACAGGCTCTGGGTTGCCCTACAGGGCAAAGGAATGGGCCATCGGAGCTGCCGTTCTATTCGTGGGCACAACCATCACCAGAACTCTGGCTGTCGGGAAGAGATGGCGACCTCTCATTCCAGGCGGCATTGCTGTTGCCGTCGGTGAGTCAACAGTGCGCGACGAGGGACAAAGATATGTGCAGCTGACAGAAAACAAGGCATGTATAACGTCCCATCATTCACCCTCGCTCGAGCCGTGGGAGGCTTGTTCGCATGGTATTGGGTTCATCTCGCTCAACGAGCGCAGACACCCCTCATCATCCTTGCATCTGTATGTATCCGTCTCAGTCCCCCTACAAGGCTATTCTAACCTTGACCCAGGGCTTCATTCTCGGCGAGGGCTTCCTGAGCATCGTGAATCTCTTCCTGCAGGGTCTCGGAGTACCCCATCTCTGATTCCGTTGTCAACCATAGCTCGCTGTAAGTTCCCCTCTTGGACAACCATGCGATGGACGTTCACAAGCTGACTGGAACATGTCTACTTCAGCTGCCACGAATGCTGCCTTGATTCGCCTTCCGCATCCTTCCATGAGGTCTTCAAGGTCAACGCTCTGGCATTGTCTTCGGCCGCCAGGAATGTGATTTCACCAGACAGACTGGTGGGGGACTTTGCAGAGGGCTTCTCCTCTGGGGGAGCGAGGAGAAGTCCTTGCTTCCAGTGGGTGACGGTGCCGGAGGGGCCAGTTGTGAAAGCGACACCACCCTGCTTCGTCTTGTCCCAGGTCTCGGGTGTGGTCTCTGGTGGAGGGACTGGGTCGTTTCGCGCAGTGGTGAAGAAGTTGTCGAACCAGATCAGGAAACCATCCACACGCTCAACCTCGCGGGTGAGCTTTGACGACCATTTGGCCGTGAATTGGAGATCCTCTCCCTTGACGGTGTGGAGATCGAGCACCTTGAATGGGTAGGGCTCACCGCAAACAGCGCTCTGCGGCATGGCCTCAACCCTGGCCTCCTCATAGATACCCTCTTGCATTGTCTTCATATCGAATCCATAGACGTCTCTCCAGAACGAAATGTTGTCAGAGATATACTCTGGGTCGGCGATAGGAGCCATCCAGATAGTTGCTGAGCTGGGGGCAAGGATACCATCCGGCTTGAGGTACTTGTCTCGGGCGTACAGGACGCTGGGGAGCATAGCCTCGTAGAGAAGGAAGTAGCCCATCCACTCGCTGACAATGATGTCGACCTGGTCCACGGGCAGCTTGACATCCTCGATAGCGCCCTTCAGGCATGTAATAACGTCGGCCAAGCCGTTGTGGAAGATGTTCTCCCTAGCCTTGACGATGATGTCTGACTTGTCAACGGCAATGACTTGCTTGGCACCAGCCTTTGCGCAAAACATGCTAAGAATGCCTGGTTGAGTATGATTAATGCTGAACTTCCGGATCGTTTGGATCAATCTGTTGCTTACCAGTGCCGCATCCAATGTCCAGGACGACCTTGTTCTTGAAGATGTGCTTGTTTTCGTAGATGAAGTCACGGTAGGCGTCAGTTCGCACCGCATCCTTCAGCATGGTCTCGTGAATTTCTGATCCATTGTCAGTAGGTATCGAATACTCGCAGAAGGGGGAAACGCACCATGGGCGGCATATGACTCGAAGTAATAGGCAGAATCGTCCTTCTTCTCTTCAGTCTTGGCTGGCTCAGTGTCGTCACCCCATCGACGGTCCAGTGTCTCCTCAACAGTCAGACGATAACTGGCAAACTGGCTCTTGACTCTCTCCAGCTCCTCCTCAAGCTCCTTGTTGCGGGCCACCAAGTTACTGTCCTTGGCTCCCTCTGAACTCTCACTGGTGATGCTCTCTAGCACATCGTCAAGCGAGAAGATGAGAGCGTCGTTCTCCAGAACTGGCCGGAGGTACTTCTCATCCTCGAGGTCCTTTTCAGAAATCTCCTTGGGAACTGGCGATCCATTCTTGACATGGTCACGGACAAAGTTGACGAGCTTGACGGCGCCGTGGAAGTCGAGGTTCAGCTTCTGCACATGAGCGACAAAATCGAATGAGTGGTTCTTCTTGCTATCCTCAAGCATGGCGGCGACATTAGGAAAAGTCTTGGGGCCAAAGAAAGATGTGATAGAGATGGACTCCTCATCGGACTCGAGGTCGAGCCACTCGCCCTCATCGGAAGCGGAGTCGTTGATTGACATTTTCACCAAAGTCGAAAAAATACGGGGCGCAGCCGGCAGAGAGAAAAGTAAATCAAGTATGGGAAGGGAAAAAATAAAGAAATAATATCCCGAGGTCAAATAGAACGAACCCGACTTGCCAAAGAAAGGTTGTTGAATGTGTTTTGTGGGATCACAGTATCTGGAGGAGGCTATGCCCTCTTGGGCTTTTTTTCTGGGTCAAGCTTTTCAGCCAAATGCAATCTGGCGAGGCACCTGTTATAATATTTTTGTAAGGGGTATATATCGCACATCGTCGTGATTGACGCTGCGTCACTTGGCCTTTTTAACGTCTTTTTCATCCTCATCGTCCTCCTCCTCATCTTCATCGTCGTCATCGTCGTCGTCTTCATCGTCTTCATCATCATCGTCTTCGTCGTCATCATCCTCACCCTCTGAGACGGGTTCATTGAGTTCAACAAGACGAGCCTGGCGGTTTAGTTAGTACTTGGCACAGACAGGGTTTCACATAGGACCTTGATGGCCCTTACGCACCTTGTATTTAGCGACCTTGTCCTCAAGATCGCCAAACACCATAAGAAGATCATCGAGTTCCGATTGGGTTGTTTCCCTGGCCTTCTTCGACTCCGATAATTCCGACTCAGCCTGTTTTTGGGATTAGCGACACGAATGAGTAGGCCGATAACAGGAAAATGGGCTCACCTTTTTGATCTTGGCTTGTAAGTCCTTGGCTTTGCTGCCACCCTCGCTGAGCTGCTTCTCCAAGGCCTGGTATTTAGCCGTTGCTTCACGAGCCTCCTTCAGAGCAGCGTCACGCTCCTCCCCAAGCTTCTTCAATGCCGCCTCGTTGCTTTCGCGCTGAGACCGCAATTCGCTTTCATATTTGTCCTTCTGCTCTGTCAGACTGGCCGCATTCCGTGCCTGAAGTTCCTTGAACTCCTGTGTCTTTGCCTTTTGTGCCTGCATTAGTTGAAACATTAGCCATTCGTGTCCTTTATGTGATGCAGTCAGGAAGCTAAGAGTTAATACCTTCATGATGTCAACCTCTAGGCGACTGATGGTTGCTTTAAGGTCTGCGACCTCGGCATCCGTACGACGCTGAATCCTTTCCGCATCTGCCTCGGCCGCTTTGCGAGCTTGCGCAAGCTGCTTCTGGTGTTCGTTCTCCAAGGCTGTTTGCTGTGCCTTCAGTTGAGCGAGTTGCTTCTGGTGATCGCCATCTCGAGCTGCTTGTTGAGTTTGCACTTGGGCAAGTTGTTTTCGGTGATCGTTCTCCTTAGCCGCTATCTGGCCTTGAAGTTTGCGAAGTTCTTCGCCATGATGCTTTTGTAGACCTTCATTGACCGTTTTCACCCGCGACATCTCGAGAGCAGCCGTTTCCCTGGTGCGTCGATGGTCCGCTTGTTCTTGGCCAAGTTGTCCCTCCAGAGTTGTCAATGCCGCCTGAGCTTCCTTCAGCGCACGCTCCTTCTCTTCGACTTGGCCCCTGAGTGAATCCACCAGTTCCCTGGATATGCCCTTTTGAACGCCGTTGGCGACCACAGATATCTCCATTCCGGGTTCCCTGTCGATAGCGCGTACTATGCGACTGTAATTATCCTTGAAAAACTCAATAAAGATGCGGTCAAAGAAGACGTCGGGGAGGCGTCCGAGGGACGAAGCATCGAGCTTTTGGGGAGTGACCTCGAAATCACGCACAAATGGGTGACTGCGAAGCTTGGTTAATCGATCTAGATACTGATCACGGTCAATTCGTGACGTCAAGATCGAGTGTAATGTCGCGCGCGGAACTGGCGAATCCTTCGTTGAGAACTCGTAAGCAACGCCTAGTAGCATGGCACACAGGCCCTGGACAAGTTCGCCGCCGCTGACGGCGGGCGGCTGTGATACAGCCTGAATCAAGCTCTGTACGTTGCTTCCTTCAGCAAGAAAGTCGTTGACTGCATCAAAGTCCTCAAAAAGCCAACCAAGAAGGAGCATAAGGTACCCAACCAGGACGCGCCCATCATCACCACGCCGCAGGCCCGACGTGACATGTGCTGTGATAGTTTGGATGCCCGTGACAACCTCTTCACCGTCGGAGGAGTCGCCTTCTGTGAGGCTCATGGCCTTTGCCTTGGCCGCAGGGTTCTCAAACAAGAGATGGAACGTGATAACGGCAGCGAACCACTGACGGTACGGATCGGATACGTCGGTTGGGGGTTGAAGCAAAACGGTCAGGACATTGGAAGACTCGTCAACACCAGCTTGGTGTCCCTCGATAGCTCGCCCCAAGAAGTGAAGCCTAACTTCAGCATGGTTCGCAAAGTAAGCCTGCAAACATTCGCACGCCGCAAACCGAAGATCGAATTCTTGCGGATCTTGTAGACACAGCGTCAGGTCCAACAGCCCGTCGATAACATAGACCTTGGCACGCCCATTCGCTTGCTCTGGAGTCGGATCGGCTCCGGCCAAGGGTGATGGGACCATTAGTTGAGCAAAACTCTCCTGTAGAGGGGCATTCTGCCGTATCACATCGCCGCATGTGGTCAAAGCCTAGACAACCTGTCAACGACGCACTTTCACAATCACAATTAATTAGTCGCACCTCGGCCTTGATCTGAGTCTGCGCCTCGTGGCTGAAGGCGAGCTGAAGAACATGATATGCAAGGCCATGCCTCCAGATCGCTGTCTGATTCAATGATGTCCCTGCTGACCCTCTAACAATAAACAGCCGGATCACAGCCAAGAAGGCATAGATATTCCGGTTCTTCTGCGCTTGTGCCCATGTCGCAATTTCGGGACCATCGCTCTGGGGTTTCAAGACTCGACCGAGCAAATCTGCAAGGCGATTGATACAGCCCGACTCGCGGAAGAGGGACTGATTTGATGTGTTCGACCGAAGCAGATTGGCAAGAAGAATTAAACAATCCTCAACAGTCCTTCCGCCCTCAGACAAGGCACCATCTGCTTCGATGATGCTGAACAACCTCTCGAAAGCGTTCTCGAATGCCACCAATTTTTGTATCTCGATCGAGGTTGGAGTAAGGTAGGTAAGGAGGATAATGCCTTCGTTTCGTATAGCATCCCGCTGGTCGTCCAGGACAGAAACAAGACGAGAGATGCCTAGAGGGGCGGTAAAAATGCATTCCTCCGTCCTTTCGGTTCGTGCAGACAAGATGGCAGCGAGCAACTGAAGAGAG